TCTTCTCATTACACTATTAACCTGTACTCCATGTACATGTTACATTAACCCTGGCTGGAAGAGAGACCGACTTCCTTCCAGAACTATGCCACAAAGGGCCTGGGGAGAATTCTCCCAGGGCAGGGTCACCATAAGTGGCCATACACTGTCCCCCTCACAGATGTAGAAGGGGGGTTGCTTTAGCATAGCGTTTTCTAGAAATTCTGGGCTACAGAGCCGTCCATTAGCAGCATGGCATAGGGTGCTGTAGGAGCTGTAGCTCATGAAAGCTTATGCTCAAATAAATTTGTTAGTCTCTATGGTGCCACAAGTACTCCTTTTCTTTCTGTGGATACAGACTAACACGGCTGCTACTCTGAAACCTTGGGAAGCTGTAATTTCCAGAATCCCAGGAGATGCAAAGGTGCATCCTAATACTGATGACTGGTATTTTCTACATACTGCACAGTGAGAATGACCCTGTTTACCTCAGCCCATAGTTAAATCCCTGACTTGCATGTACAATACAAACTGTAGCATATTGCAGTTCATGCAAAACGGGGCTTTTATTTTCAAGGGTGGCCAAGTGTTTTATTTTTGGGACACTCTTATTGAGGAAAGAATCTCTGGCAGTGTTTATCTCTTCGCTAATAATAATGACCTCCTTCACCCAGAATGGTAACAGCCTTACTGCTCTGTCATTTTCATGCTCTGCTCCTGTCCGCACTCACACACTGCAGTGAGCTTCTAGTGATCTGCTTAAAGCCTTTAAAATGATATGCTGTTAATAAGTTAATGGCAGGGTTTTTACTCCCTGTCTTGTGCTTCAGAATATTATTCTGTGGCCTCCCTGATTACGAATGTCACTGTATCTTTGTGTTTATTGTAAACAAGTTTTCAGTGTAATCTAAAAAAAAAAAAAAAAATCAAAACCAAAACAAACGAAAACCCCACCTGTGCCCCACCTTTTTAATGTAGTATAAGAAACATTAACAGTTTTGTAACTGTATGTAATCCAACGCTGTTAGATAGAAACAGCTGATTATGGCATACTTTAGAAAATACGTATTAGAGTGCATTAAGCAAATTCTCAAGTAGAAATAAATCAGCTTTTTAAAAATGTAGTGATCTTAATCTCTTAAAATATGTCAATGGTTTCATTGGTTTTCCCCGGTTTTAGATTAAATTTTGGATCTCTTTTCATACAGAGAACTCCTTAGATCTGTACTGATTAAGTATAGATTTATTTTAAAGACTTAAATAAAGTTGATTGCTATGGAAGATAGTAAAATAAGTGACATCAATGATAGGAAAGGCACCCACAGCATTTACTAAACGTATGGCAATTAAAGATATGTAGAATCAGGACAAAACTGAGAATTTTCAGTTCAAACGTAATCTCAGTGCTAAAGTACAGCTGCGAGTGCGAGAGCTGGATATTTACCAAAAATTTTAGACAGAGAAGTAGATAGTTTTGAAAATAAATGTCTGCGAAAGATTCTGGGCATTGGCCGGAAAGACTTTGTTACAATGAAGAGTTCTGAGAAATCGCCAACTATCAGCTCATTCATTGCCACCAGAATCAGAAGGATGCACTGGACATATCTGGGGCACGTACTCCAGCTACCAACACACAGATTCCCACATGAAGGTACTGGTGTAAGGAAACAAGGGCAGTCAAGAGAAATCTGAAGAAGACCTCTTAGAAACGGGGGGAGAACAGGCCATCTCTGTGCCATAGAAGAGATAGAAGTAGCAGCAAATGACAGAGAGGAATGGAAGATACTAGTTTTTGCCATGTGTTCTAATATAGGCCTGGGAAGTATGTTATGTAATGGTAATTAACTATATGAAGCTAAAAGCAAAATATTAACCAATCCTGCAAAAACGTATACAGGTACTTACGTTTGCATGCTGTGAGTAACTATGGGATGACTAACATGTTGAAATTCTGGCCTCTTTGAAGTCTGTGTCAAAAACTCCTATTAACATCCGTTGAGCCAGAATTCCACCCACTCGATGTCAAGTTAAGCATGTGTAAGTCTTTGCAGGATCCTCACCATTTATAAAATTATGGCCAAAAAATGGCGTTAAAGGGTTTCAAGTTGTCAGCTGCAATATAAATGGTAATGCCAAAGGCATTATTGCTATGATATGCAAGGAGCTTCCTATAGATTTAACTTTGTTATAATTTTGCCTTCATACACGCAGAACACTTTGTGGCACAGGCTGTTCAATCATAAGGAATGGGTCTAATTCCGAGTTCTCTCACACCATTTTTAATCTGATGTGATTCCACTAACCTCAGTAGAATTACTCCCAGTTTACATCAGTGTAAGTGAGAGCAAAGTCAGTCCCAATGTGCTCAATAGGAGACAAACAGCATCAACACATTTCTCTCTAACCTGTATTTTTAAAGAATGTACTCAAGTTTGCAGCTGCAGCATCCCCCCTAAAATCAGGGCTTACTACAAGGCTTAAGGACTGATTTCCCACTGCAGTATTCAGGAGCCAAGAAACACAACTGTGGAAACTTCCATTGAATAAAGACTTCTGCAGAATTTGGCCTTTGCTGTTAGTTTGCACAGCGGGAGGATTGCATATAATTATTTAAGTGTGTAAAGTTCTATTTTTAAGACTAGGTTATTTGAGATTTACTCTACCCCTGTGTGACAATGAATATTCGTCCCCGTGATGTATGTATATCTATTTCTGATTAACCTAATCTTTACATGCTGTAAATCCTTGCAACTTAGCCTTGGATATGAGCTCCACAGAGACAGATTGCCCCTTCAGGGACATATTTTTTCAATATTTTTTGTTTAATTTGTTTTTAGCACTTGTGTGCTAAGACTCTATAGGGAAAGTAATCTACGCCAGACTACATAACGGTCTAGAACTTGTCATTATTCTTGATTATATCTTTGTGCTGAACTTAACCCTCGTTCAGAGGGCTAGTTTAAGACCTGTGCATCACGTAAGTCCCATTTAAGCCCTGTAAGTCCACTGAGAGCTTGTCTACACTTATTGGGGGAATTGACGAGCAGCGATCGATGCATCAGCGGTCAATTTAGCGGGTCTAGTGAAGACCCGCTAAATCTAGTGAAGAACTGCTAAATCAACCGCAGATTGCTCTCCTGTCGACTCCTGTACTCCACTGGATCGAGAAGGGTAGGGGGAGTCGACGGGAGAGCGTCTCCTGTCAACACTGCATAATGTGGACCCCGTGGTAAGTAGGTCTAAGCTATGTCAATTTGAATTAGGCTATTCACCTAACTCAAATAGTGTAGCTTATATCGAATTTCCCCTGTAGTGTAGACAAGGCCTAAGTGGTACATAAGCCTTGTATTAATCAATTTCTCCCTTGAAGAACTGGAAGCCCTATGTAAAGGCAAGTCCCCTCCTGGCATCCTACTCCCTAGACCAGTGCTACTCAAAGTGTTGGTCCGTGGACCGAGCCACTGGCTGCCGGTCTGCGCACACACATTGGGGGAAAAAAAATTGCCGGTCCTCCACATCAGATAGCTTGAGAAGCACTGCCTTAGAGGACACTCTAACTAGAGCTGGTCTGGAATTTTTCAGCAAAACTGAGCATCAGGCTCCCATGTGAGGGCCCTAACCACTAGGCTATTGTCTGTTCTTAGGGGAAGGCCGAGGGTCATAATATCTCACACTCACAGAAGTTTTTAAAGGTCTACTTTTTGTTCTGATGCAGAATGAAAACAGATTTTTACATTACAAATTTTTTTACCAAATGGAATTATTTTCCAGACAGCCCACCCCTAGAGACCACAAGAAAATCCTGAGATTTCCACTAAGTGTTGATTAAGCTTTTGCAAAGATAGATGTCTGTGTAAGGCCTTCAAGACTGGACCCTTTGGTTATGGTGAAGACAGTTTGGGAGAGGTTGGTTGGAGTATTCATCAAGTCCATAGTATGGCATGTGAACATAACCTGTCATTCAGTCTAAATGCATTTTAGCAGCTAAGTATTTTTTAATTCTCACAAGAAGTAGTACATTAAGTGATGACAGAAGGAGGCTGGCTTAAACTGACAAAAGCTGGGAAATTTCACATTAAGTTAAAAACTCTGAGCCAGATTCTCCTCTCGTGTTACACCACTGTCACCCATGTAAGTGATATGGACCAGTACAACTCAGAGCAGAGTTTGGCTTGCTCTACTGAAGCGCTCGATAAGGCATGCTTGGAAAATCCCAGTATATGATTTATGCAGGGCTTTGTGGGCGAGAGAAAGTAGCTTTAGTTTAATGTGGTTAGAAACCAGAAGGCAGCATAGGAAGGATTAGAAATATGTGTAGTTAGGGGAAGTTTTGCAACATGATGGGAGAGACAGGGTTAACTCCATCCTTTCACCTCCCTAATGGTTTGACGTTCAGTGAGAACGAAGCTGCACTTTAAAATACATAACTAGTCAGAAACTACTTGCTTGTGGATCTCTGGGTAAAACATGTATAGACTTGTCATCCTTCAGTAAAGCTTGCAGGATTTTGAGCACTCTGTATAGAACTTCATAGATAATGCTCAATTCCATTCTCTCCATCCTGAGTGACGATGGGAGGACCTGCTTAGGAGTGAGTGGAAAAAGTGCCTCAGAAACAAGCTCTCTGACCACATAGTTTCCATGTCCATCAGAGCTGTGGCCTCTGAAACTTTCTGTAAAGTGGTCAGTTGTGTCCACATTATAAATCCAGGGTTGGGGCCTGGACTGAGGTCACCAGACTCATTTCACACAGGGCCACTGAGTCATCTTCAGATGGTAACAACATGTTTTGGACTTGAATCACTAACCTAGAGGTGATATTCCTTTATTAGTCATCTGAGTCATGGAGTCCAAACACCAGTCCCCTGTGCAGGCCTGGTGGTTCCCAACTTTCAGACAGTTTACCCATCATGACCCTCCTTCCATTGTTCCCTCAGAACCCACCTATGTCAGTAAGCTAAATTACTCCTACAGGTCATTGCATCCTCTTTAGTGACATTCTAATGTTCTCTTTCCATTAGTTGGAGAACACCAGCTGACAGGACATAAAGTAGCCGTAAAAATTTTAAATAGACAGAAAATTCGGAGCTTGGATGTGGTTGGGAAAATCAAGAGAGAAATTCAAAACCTAAAACTCTTTCGGCACCCTCATATTATCAAACTGTAAGTACTATTGCTAGTGTTCTCTGTGTTCATATTGCATTTCAGTTCTATGTTGTGTCAGAGGGAATTCTCTTGAATGCATTTTTGTTTTACTAGCAAATTAAATTACACTTGCAGAAGATGGAAAAGACTGAAATGGTTAGTTTGCATTTTGAGAAGTGTATCAGGGAACGGAGCCAGCTAATTAATATTCTCTAAATAATTCATTCAAGACATTCTTTAGTTTTTTGCAAATAAGTTGACACATCTATTCATTATGGGCCTGTCCCATGCCCACTGAAATCAGCGATTTCAAAGGGCTTTGGATCAGGCTGCCTTTGTGCTGTTCCAGTCATGGACCTACCAAGTTATAAATTAAGGCCTTGATCCTACAAGTCTTATACACATGCTTCACTTTACTTGACTTCAGTGGAATGACTCCCAGTAATATATAAAGCTAAGCAGGTGTGCAGGTTTTTGCTGAGTTAGGGCCCAGTCTTGCGACATTGAAGTCAATAAGAGCAGAGTCAGAGCCTTAGAAAACTATACAGACCAGTTTTGCTGGGAAGTTTGGGGTATTATCTTGGCAATCCCATGCATAGTAAACTTTATTGAATCAAGTTCTGCATACTTACACCTGTGTAAGCCCTGTTGTTTTTCAATGGAATGGCAATGGTGACTGAGAACTGAGGGCTACAAGGAACTACCATAGATGTCAATGGGAGTTAGTGTTCTCTCTTCTCTTTTGGCCTGATCCAGCAGTTAATGAGACTTTGAAGTTAATGTGACTTTTGTCTGTGTAATGACTACATGATCAGGATCTCGAGGTGAAATCCTAGCCCCAAACCAGTAGGAGTTCTCCATTAGTGGTCTGGATATCAGAAGACTAAAGTTACCATTTTCTGTTTATGATGTTGAAATTCAGGAAAGAGGTTCCAAAATTGACACTCTGAGGTATCCGAATTTAAGTTGCAAATAGGTAACTGCACTGCAGTAGTTTAGTGTTCTCAGATTAAAAATCCAGAAACCTCCAGGTTTAAATGCACAAATCAAGTTATTATAGTAGCCAGCCATTAAATACATTTGGCATGTCTATAAAATAAAGTGGTTGAATGGCTATTAGAAATATAATTTGTTGTTTAGAGCACTCTTGAAACTGGCATGTCATCTAGTGAGCCTTCCTCTTAGAGGGAAGGGGTCAAATTCTGCTTCCAGTTAATCCACCATAATTCTGAAGTTACTATTGACTTTAATGGAGTTACTCCACAGTATCATTAGCATCTTTGAGAACAGATTGGTACCATTTCATAAATCAGGTAGCAAAAAGTGCTTCTCAAAGAGGCATCTGGCACTCTGAGTCTCAACTGGTTCTCATATATGTCAAAGAGAACAAATTATGGCCTAAAAATTAAATCGAAGTTAAGAACATCAATATGGTCTGGGCTAACTAATTGAATCATGAAATGGTATGTTAAAAGAAAATTAGGAAGTGAGAATGGATTACATTTACTTTCCATTTTATTTGATTTTTTTCCCTGTACACAGTAACGAATTATCAGAGACTTTGGTATACTGGATCTCAAACCACTTTAAAGTGTATTAACCCTTATTGATCTTTTGCGGGTTTTACTGAACACGATGTATTTACATGCAGTTTTAAGAAGACAGGAAGTTATTTGTTCACTTCTAGTGTAATGATACAGAACACAAATTCAACTATAAGCAGTGCAAACACAAAATCTGAGTACAAGAAAATGGTTGTGAACCTTAGCTGGTGTTGCTATAAATTTATGTAGCTTCACTGAAGTCAATAAAGTTATGCCAATTTACTCTAGCTGAGAAACTGGAGTGTAATAGGACAGATTCAAACTTTACCTGCCTATAGTACCTAGAGTTCTTTTCTCCTGCATCCGCAGTACAAGGGGGGAGGGGGGAGGGAAGGTTAATATTCCTTTTTTGCTTTTACAGCAATCTCTTAAAACATTGCTGTAAATCTTAGCCAAAATGGAAGTTTGAAAATCAGGTTAGTCCTAAGTGTGGTAAACTAATGTAGCAAAGATTTCAGAGGATTATGTAAAAGCTTAAGAAATAAAGAAGTGAATTTGTGAAACAGATGCTTTCAACAGACCATTGAAAGAGATTATATTTGTTTGCATCTTGAAATATAAGCAATTGCTTTTCATATATAGAAAGCAAGTTTATACACAAGATCAAAACAAATGTTTATTTTACAGAAGAAGTTATAATAGTAAACTGTTTAAAAATCTTGCTCTGTTGTTACTAATTAAGTCTTTCTAAATTCTCTCTTTTGTTTTTGAAGATACCAGGTCATCAGCACTCCAACGGATTTTTTCATGGTAATGGAATATGTATCTGGTGGCGAATTGTTTGATTACATCTGTAAGCATGGACGTGTAAGTGACTGTATATTGTCAAGATAAAGATTCGGGTGGGAAAAGGATGGTGCTGCAGAATAAAATGGTTTTGCAAAATGGGATGCTTTTTAGCTAAATGGAACAAAAATAGTCCTATCCTGAATATCTTGCATTTGGCCTAGAATACAGTTGTATACATCTCTTTGCAACTACTCCATGTTGTGTTACAACATATAAACAAGAAATAAAAACAAGCCAGAAAAATAATCCAATCAAATAATAAACCTACTGTTAAGTACAAGGAGAATCACTCGTAACTCCCTTATGGATGTCTTGGTAGGTTTCATACAGCCACCAGCCAGGAACAGCAGAACGTATAAGATGGACGAATAAAGGTCTCAGTTAGGATACCGGGAAAGTTCAGGCTACAGTGCTAATGTTCTTCTCTTCCTGTAGGGTCACAAAAGAAATGCATTTTGTACTAACCTATTTCGTATGAGGACACTGATAGGAGAAGTCATTTCCATTGGTCCTTTACATTTATGAATACAATTCTGATTTACAGCATGATTTTTTTTTCTCAGTTTATAGAAAATACTTGATCTTTCTAAGTATTAAAGTTAGGCCCTTTCTGGACTTTGACATTTAGAAACGACATTTTTCATGAAAGAACATTACAAACTGGTCAGTATAAATGACCAGAAACGCACTTTATTCGATCTAATTCCCCATTGCATTCGTCCTAATTATAGAATCATAGAGCTGCTCCATTTTTCACCTCTACAAAGCCACCTACTTCATTCCTCATGGCTGAATTTGTTCCCTGTAGAACATTGTGCAATGCTTTCTCAAGTCTAGATTAAAATCTCCTGTGATAGGACTGCTATTGGTTCCCTTGAGAGACTAGGCCACAGTTTAATAGATTTCACTATTAGGAAGGTCTTTGTCAGTGCTTAATTTGTAATGAAAGAGGTGTTGAGGCTCAAAGCAATTTTTTTTTGCATTGACACAGCAAGCCCAGAGGTGCAGGGGCTATAAACTGCCAAGCCAAGATGTGCCGGGGCTCAGCCCTGACACAAATTAAACACAGGTCTTTGTGACAGCCAGTCTAAATTGAGCTTTTCCTAATTTTGTCACATGGCTCCTAGTTATTAGCTTTATTTCAAAGCAGTAATGCAGTATAAAATGCAAGGGGAAAAATCTGCTTTATACATTTGTCTCTGTTTACAGTGTTTTTACTGTAATTTTATCTGTGCATCATAGAGCTTTTCAGCTCACGACGGAGCCAAAGGTGTTTTGCCAAGTGTCGTTTCAGAGAAAGGTTTAACCGTCTCCCGGTGTTTTGTAGGTGGAAGATGCGGAAGCTAGACGCCTTTTCCAGCAGATTCTCTCTGCAGTGGATTACTGTCACAGGCATATGGTTGTCCACAGAGACCTGAAACCAGAGAATGTGCTGCTGGATGCACACATGAATGCCAAGATAGCTGATTTTGGTATGTGACCCCAACAGCATTCCAGAAATGTAGCCAGCTACAAGCCACTTGCTGGAGTGTGTCAACATAACATGCCTTACAGAACTGAGTCAGTTTGCATGGCCATGAACAATTTCATAATTTTAATTGAAGAGTTCATAATCGTAAACACTCACCCTTCAACGAAGACAGGCATCGCTAGTGAGATCTCTTGTGTTTGTAGTATAAACATACATGGGTTTTAGCACAGTGGAGAAACAAGGTAATTTGCAAATTCATCACTGTTTTCAGCGTAATAATTAAAAAAAATTAGCTAACATTCATGGTAGACTCCAATGCAGTAACATCAGAACGGAATTTGTCCCTGTATGACCATAAGAATGGCCATACTGGGTCAGACCAAAGGTCCATCTAGCCTAGTATCCTGTCTTCCGACAGTGGCCAATGCCAGGTACTTCAGAGGGAATGAACAGAACCCGTAATTATCAAGTGATCCATCCCTGTTGCCCATTACCAGCATCCAGCAGACAGAGGCTAGGGACACCATCCCTGCCCATCTTGGCTAATAGCCATTGATGGACCTATGCTCCATGAATGTATCTAAGTTTTGGGGTTTTTTTTGAAGCCTGTTATGTCTAATCTCATATGCCTACTCCTTTTGTAGAACTATTTGTGCGTTGGGATCACTTCCTTTTACACACAAGCAGTGACAGGAGTCTTCAATATGATTTAGAAAGCTAGTTAACAGTCTGAGGCAGCTCACTGCAGATGCATTCTTTCTCCTAGTGATAAGTGATGTGAGAATTATTTGTAATACATAATGCCCCACCATTCCAGAAACCCCCAATTGTTTAATTTTATTATTTCATAATTTCCCCCACTCCTTCCCTTGGTACTCCTCCCGTCATCCTTTTAGAAGCATAGAATTCTCGCTAACCATACATTCAAAGCATGCGTCAATATGCAAGAGTCTTACTTTTAGGGTTGTCGAACATGATGTCAGATGGTGAATTTCTGCGAACCAGCTGTGGCTCCCCAAACTATGCAGCTCCTGAAGTCATCTCCGGAAGGTATAACTTATCATTGAGAAAACCCATTTGAATGCAAGTGTATGGTCCGGTGTGATTCTTGCATTTGTTCTTGTATTTGAAACTTATTTTGTACTACTGTTAAAGATAGCTGAAGCTCCCCCTCACACGCCTTCATTTTTAAAAGTGGGAGTGAATCTAGTCACAAAGCCTTGTGTCGTTTTCTTTCTATGATTAAAAATAGAAAACGATCTTTCTAAAAATTGTAAAGAGTTATTAAAAGACATTTGTGGTTTATATACCTAAATAAAGAATTAGGTAAATATATTTTTGACCTGAATCCTTTTCATGTGCAAGGAGTTTCCCTCCCCAAAATTCTTATTCACCTAACATGCTAAATGTTTCATCTGTCTATCTTTAATTTTGTTATGTTGTTAAAGAGAACTAGTCAATGATAGACCAACCAATTTTACCCACCCGCTTCCCAAACCTTAACAATGGTCTCTACCCCTTTTCCATACCTTCCCAGTGGTTCCATCTGAAAAGTCTTATCTTCTGGCTTCTTTTAATCAATTTCTTTTTTCAGAAGAATGGTTGCTGCTGTCATGGGATGGAATGGTCATGACTTCCTGTTAAATTAATGATGAACAAACCTGTGAAGCAGTCACGCCCTACCGAACGGCTGTTATTTGGCATTTCTATAGCACCCTTACCTATTGAAAGCACTGCCCAATCCTGAATTAATCTTCATCACACCCAGATGGAAGTACGACCTTTCCTTTCCCATTTCACAGTTCTGAAAATGGAGTTTCGGAGAAAAACTGATTTGGCCAAGCCCATACAGCAGGCCAGTGACAAAACCAGGATTAGAAGGAAGGATTTCCTAATTTAGAATCTTGCACATATTCTTCATAACCACCTGTTTTCCAGTCTCGTACCAGTTATTTTTTTATACCATGTCTTGTTTGCATTCATTTTAACAGAAACCAGGTGGCAAAATCGCAGTACACTTTCCCCATATCATTTTTCCTGCTGTATCTCATCTAACAGGCCAAATAAACACAGCATTTTGGTTAATGTGGATTATTTTTGATTAAGTTTCCTGTCACTTATGCCAGTGGAAGTGATGGCAGAGTTCCTTCTGAATTAGACCCTCCGGAGGACTGAGTGGAGGCAACAACTCCACTTACAGGGATCAGTGAGTCATGCTGGCTGGACACGGGGCAAAGCCAGGAAGTCCACAGCTGCTGCAGCTCCAGAAAGAAGCTGCAAATCAAGGTTGTCCCCACTTCATTCAGTAGAGCCCTAACTGTGCTTTCATTCAAGCAGTATAGAAGAGAGTGTTCTATCAGAGGACAGCAAGAGAAAAGGTACAAGTTATTGCCCTCTAGGTCCCGAAGGATTGCAAGGACTCAACCAATTCAGCTTGTTAGCAATGAATAAAAGAAACAAAAACACCATATACGTCTAAACCAGGTTCATCTACTAATCCCCTGACTGTATTGCCTTCCCTTTATCAGGCCTCCCCGCAAACTCCCTCATTGCTGCTCAGCTTCTCATTTTATATCCTGGAAGGGTTTCCCAGCCTGCCTTGCTCTTAAAGGGACAGCACCTGTCAGAGTTATCATTACAATGTTTTTCACATAGCATGGAGATTGGTCAGACTACTAGTTCTGTTGTATGACATTGCACATGGATTTATGTAGGAGACCAGAGTATGTGAGCAGATTCAAAATTCACCTTCTGCCATGGCCTGATGAGTAACAAAGCATGAAAGGACAGGTTGTAAGACAGAGTAGATATATCCGCTTGGGTCTAAAATACAAATCTGTGATCATCCTATCAATCTGGGAACCAGCAGAAACACTGGGCCCCCAGAATTGTCAAAAACAAGACCATAAAGGGCGGTATACTTATGCATCTAAATAATTGGCCAGTTTTTTCAAAAAATGCTGAGTACGGAGCTGCTCTCATTGTCCTCAGAAGGAGCTGCTGGGTGACAAGCACTTTTGAAAATAAAGCGAGCTATTTAGGTGCCTGAGTATGGCTGTAGGAGCCCAACTTTTGAAATTTTGGCCAAGGAGGAGCATGCTCACAATGTTACTGAAAAAAATCCAACACGCAGTAATCAAAGCAGAGTATCAAGGGCACCCAAGCTTTGTGATAACCATGCCCACATTAGCAGTTTCCTAGAAGCCTAAGTACTGGATCGGACTTGAATACAAATTTCTTACAGAAAAAATAAATGTACAGAGGTGTAATATTTGCTTGTAGTTATATCTGTCTTGGTGGATGTATAGAAATAGTTGGCTGAGTCCATCAGCCATTGGAACAAGAGAAGAAGCTTTTCACAGAGCTGTTGGGAAGGAAGAGCAAACTTGTTTCCTTGCCTCTTCATTAGCTTCTGTGGGTTGCACCTTCGTGTCTCAGTCTGAGTGAACCAGAGACGCTTCAGTGAGGCTCAGTTTTAGGACACTGGGGTAGGAGTACGAACTGAAGCATTTAGCTTTCAGGGTCCACTTTTAAGCTCCTCTGCTATATTATAACCTCTACTACAAAGCATATAATGCCAATTGGCAAACAGATAAAACATGGAAAGGAAATCTTCTCTGTTGCCTTGACTTTGTTTAGGTTGTATGCTGGGCCTGAGGTGGATATCTGGAGTTGTGGTGTTATTCTCTATGCTCTTCTCTGCGGGACGCTGCCATTTGATGACGAACACGTTCCCACGCTCTTTAAGAAGATCCGTGGAGGTGTTTTCTACATCCCCGAATACCTCAACCGTTCAGTTGCCACTCTCCTCATGCACATGCTGCAGGTTGACCCACTCAAGCGAGCAACCATCAAGGACATAAGGTAACGTCACACATCAGAAGTCACAATAGAAGCCTCTCTCCTCAAATATACCTTCTTGCGTGTGGTGGGCAAGCTGTGTTGCGGACACAAGGCTAGTTGACCCTGAAAACTTACAATGGCAAAGCTACATCTCTCGGGGGTGCGAAAAATCCATACCCCTGAGAAATGTAGCGATGACTACCTAAGCCTGGTGTAGACAGTGCTAAGTTGATGGAAGAATTCTTCTGTTGAACTACCTACTGCATCTCAGGTAGGTATATTAACTACAGTGACGGGAGAACCCCTCCCATCGCTGTAACGAGCGTCTACACTGAAGCGCTACAGTGGTGCAGCGGCAGCTTTTAAGTGTCAACATACCCATAGTTTATGAAGGTTAGTAGGTGCATTTCAGCAAGTAACCGGGACCTTTTCTATTGCATTAAAAAATGGTCTCAAATATCCTTAACGGTGCTTGGCAAAAGTAGCCACGTGATGCAGTAATGCAAATAATTAGCATTCATCTGCCATGTTTTGTTGCTTAATTAAAAAACTTCTCCTTCCTTCTGAATGCAGGTTCAGCATACGGTGTATTTAATATGCAGAGTCACAGCAAAACATGAAAAGATGCATAGACCAAGAATGCAGGATCCACAGCCCGCGCTCTAAAAATGAAACACCTGAAAAATATTCCTTAATGAGGGCAAATGGCTCACCTTTAAATGTAGTATAATTTTCTCATCTAGCAAATGAATAAGCTGGTGCTGTACTTCTGCCTGCTCACATTCCCATATAAATTCAGCTTAATGTGAGCACTGAGGTTTTTTTAGTCCATATTTGGGCCTTTAAATATAATTAAAAATGCCTGTCTGAAAGCAGGACTTAAACTGAATAATTTTAGTACGGTGTAAACTAGGAGCATGCTCGATCTTCTGTGAAATACAGAATAATCATTAAATCTAAATGGTGTTTTAAAATAGGTATATAAATGTCACAGCCATCTGAAAGTCCTTGGGTCTTTAATTCGTTTGGAAATGATGGTTTTATAGTGCAACTGCTGTCCTAAAGTGAAAATGGGGCTTTTTTTCCCAAGTCTCTCAGTTTAGTGGCTCTAATGCATCTTAGGGGAGGAGCGCCCATGAGGGGACAACAGGTGGTAAGGGGATGTGGCGGATGGGTGACCACTTTGTAGCTACATCAGCGACCAAGAGTCTTTACCATCTGATGGGTGTTTGGGTCTCAGGCCAGTTCCTAACATACAAATAAAATCACAGTTGCCGTGCCGGACGAACGATATAGGGTTTAGTTCACATGCAGGTGCGATTATTAGGGGTTGGCAGCACACACAGTCCTGTAGGTGTGGGTTTGCATGAGGAATCCCGCCCCACCACCAAGGGCCCCAGCTCTGGGATGCCATCCTACACATTATGTTTACTGCCTTTGGGCTGCATACGACCATCCAATTGCTCCTGGAGGTTTAAAGGAGCAATTTTGTGGCAACGCCATCCCCACACCCAGATTATGCTCTCCAGGGTGTGACCAATGCCTACCACAGGCCATGCGTGAGAGGGAGATGTTAGTGACCACTCCATCCCCATGCAGGAGCAGAGAAACACCCTGATTGTCAACTGTCCCTAAGGCTGAGTTGCCCCATAGTTCCTGATGAAATAACCAGCGATTGCCACGAGTGTTTCCCCAGTCCCACTGCCCTGTGGAGATGGAAGATTGATGCATGCTGAACACCTCCCCTCCCACTCAAAGACTTTGAAAGCATTGGAAAAGGCAGTGGCCACAGTTCATGCCTCATGAAAAACTGAAATCCCAAGGGAGGCCTGTAGCGGGGGGCCTGTCTGCAGACAGCACAGGCGAAATGGGGAGGGAGCAAGGGTGGAGGTGCCTTTTGGAGAGTGGCCTGTCTGTAAACTGAACATCAGCCTGGATTTGTGAACCAAGGCTGTTGTTCACTGATGTGGTGTCACGGGGTCCACTCACCACTGGCAGCGCCACCGCCAGGGCGCTCTGGGGATTAGCTCTGACCAGCCATTGCACCCTCCTCCAGTGTTGTCTCACCCATCCTGCAGGCCCCTCTTGCTCCAGGAACCACAGCCTCCCCTCCAGCCGCAGTCACCCCATGTTCCCCTTTCCAGGGGTAACAAAGTCCCTCTTGACAGATGGGCTCAGGCAGTCTTCCTGCTCACTGCCCTGCTGGTGCCACTTGGTCAGCAGCCGGTCGGGGGACCCAGGCCCACCCTCTACTCCGGGTCCTGTCTCAGGGGCCGCTAGTCAGCAGCCAAGGTCTGCATTCCTATTCCTTGCTACTGTTCCCCTGAACTGTCTCCCACCTTCTTGGCTCCCCCGCCAGCCTCCCTCCTCCCAGGGAGCACCCACACACTACCCTCTATACTTCTGAATACACCTTCGCTTCTCCCAGGAAATGCCTGCAGTGCCCCCATTGCCAGCTTCCTAGCTTATATAGGTCTTACTTGGTCCTGCCCAGGTGAGCCTGTTCTATTTAAATCCCTGGCTCCGCCTCCAGGTGCAGGTTGGGGAGGTAATTGGCCTACTTGGCCACCTTAACCCTTGCAAGCCTTGTGTCGGGTGGACACCCTATCACATGCAGGAGACCTTGCACACACGTTCATTGCTTTGTTTGGTGTGACTATTTCACACAACTTACAGTCTTGTTGGAAGTTACAACAAAAAGACCAAAAATGGAAACTGTCCTTCGCCCGTCTCGTCAGTATTGTTGTGGTACCTTAATCTGAAGAAAGCATGCACTGGTGCTACCTGTGTGTTGATAAATAATTAATAGTTTGCAGGGCTGTCAAATGAAGGCCTTCGATGAGCATTTTGTTTTCTAGAATATGATAGTAGTGGCCACGCCTGTTTCGAGTTCCACCAAACTCTTGGCCACACTGATGTCTTGTGGCAATGAGTTCCACTGCCTGAATGAAGACTCAGACATCACTAAAAATAATGAACTTGATTGTCAACCAGTGTAAATCATTGTAGCTCTATTGAAACAACAAAGTTTTGCCAGTTTACACCAGCTGAGGGTCTGTTTCATTGGTTCGACCCCCTTCACCCTCCCCACCACCCCAGGCTGTAGCTCATAGAATGAATCACAGCTAGGTTGCCCATCTGCAAATACAGACTCACGGCTATGCTCGCTCTCTCTCTCTCTCTGTAGTCACAGTTTCATTTTTTTTTCCCCCTAGAGAACACGAGTGGTTTAAACAAGACTTGCCCAGTTACTTGTTTCCAGAGGATCCTTCTTACGATGCTAATATCATTGATGATGATGCAGTGCGGGAAGTTTGTGAGAAGTTTGAATGCACGGAGTCAGAGGTGATGAACAGCTTGTATAGTGGTGACCCACAAGACCAGCTTGCAGTAGCTTACCACCTTATCATTGACAATCGGAGAATCATGAATCAAGCCAGTGAGTTCTACCTCGCCTCTAGTCCGCCCACTGGCTCATTTATGGATGACAGCACTATGCACATACCTCCGGGGGTGAAACCGCACCCAGAGCGGATGCCTCCTTTAATAGCAGACAGTCCCAAAGCACGGTGTCCCTTGGATGCACTGAATACTACCAAGCCAAAATCTCTGACTGTGAAAAAAGCCAAGTGGCATCTAGGAATCCGCAGTCAAAGCAAACCGTATGACATTATGGCTGAAGTGTACCGAGCTATGAAACAGCTGGATTTTGAATGGAAGGTAGGAAATATCAGTGCTTTGTGGCCATTTTCAAGGATCATTTTCTTATAAGTTCTCCTGATCTGAATTGATCAGTGCAGATAGTAAGTATTGTTACAGGATTGTCTGTTTTGAACTATATCATCATCTCTAGTTTATTATTTTTAAACAAACACTCAACCTGAAAAATGCTAGTTGTGGCTAAATAAGCTCCACCTGTATTACTGACATAAAATACTTATAAAATGCATAAAATGCACTTCCTTATTTTAACTCTCTCAGCCTGCCTTGTTGAGCTGTAGGGCTAGCAGGAGCTGGTCATATTTCTAATTTTAGCGACTGAATACCTTGAAACCTCCCGCATGGGTCATAACAATCACATGTCCTGAAACTACACAATCGGTTTCCTTTATTCTCTTCTTAAGGAATATATAGGCTATGTTACTTTGTAGACAAAAGTTCTTTTACTACAAGGGAACTGATTATAGCATTGCACTAGTGAAACTGTACTTCTGGGTGAAGGCACAGCCATGTCTAGCTCATGCTTACAGTCACTTAACGCTTCCCAAACAATGCGCCGGTTGGGGCTGAACTTTCCATGCTTGATTTTTCTTTTTTTGCTTGGTAATATTCTCTTTTAACTGGGTTTTCTGAGATATTGGTGCATGAGATAGGACAGGTATTTTTGCAGTAGCTAGCAATTCAATTTTTCTTGTGCTCAGATAAGTTCTTGCCATTGATTTAACCCTCATTAAGAACTACTGTGCCTGATTCTCCACCGCCTTGTGTAGTCACTTACCTGTGACCATCTGACTCATTAGCCTTTTACAACCACTTTGCACCAGGGTAAATAGCAACACAAGATGGAAGGCAGTGCAGAATCAGGACCATAACCATTGACACGCTGGCATGACGCACCTACGTTTATGCCCAGTAGTTCATTCAAGAATGGTTTACTTAATGGTGTAAAGCGTGTGAACGTTACCATTGCTGCATATGCTACTTTTGAAATGCCAGCATTTAAAAAATCACCCCTAATAATGTGTTAAAGTTTCCAACATTTAATTCATTTGTGGGTAGCTATGTGAAATGAGTGGGAAAATGGCTCAGCTCAGGCCCCTGCGTGCAGTAACAGAGTCCCATCATTAGAGGCAGCTCAGGACAGGTTTGAAAGCGGATTTACAGATTGTGGCAAGTACAAGTTTTAGTGGTTCCCAAAGGAGTTAACCGAGTGGAACTTTTCATAGATTATAAATCCAGAATGAACCATTCGATTGTCTAGTCCAGTGGCTCTCAACTACTGTACCCCTTTCAGCAGTCTGATAGGTCTTGCGTACCCCAAGTTTTACCTCACTTAAAAACAACTTGCTTACAAAATCAGACATAAAAATACAAAAGTGTCACAGCACTGAAAATGGCTGACTTTCTCATTTTTATCATAAAACTATAAAATACATCAATTGGAATATAAATATTTTACTTACATTTCAGTGTATAGTTTATATTGCGCTATCTACAAGTCATTGTATGAAATTTTAGTTTGTACTGACTTTGCTAGTGCTTTTTATGTCCCCTGTTGTAAAACTAGGCAAATATCTAGCTAGATGAGTTGATGTAGAAAACTTCTGCATGCCTCCAGGGGTACACGTACCCCTGATTGAGAACCACTGATCTAGTCTGATCTGCATAAGACAGACTGTAGAACTTCTCCCAGTCACCCAAGTAGAGATCCCTATTACTTGTGTTTGACTAAAGCATATCTTCTAAACCTTGGACTATTTTTGAACACAGGTGACTGTATTCATGTTTTACCCTACTCCCTGTTTTGGCAGGCAGAGGGCAGAATAAGGGTGTTTAGTTATATTACCATTTCATTCAACTAATATTTGCTCTCTGAAGTAAATCTGAATGTGTCGCTCTTCTTCCCCAAGAATATTCTCTCTCTGTTCAGTAAATTGATTTGCTGTCATTTCTGGAAGCCTGCTCCCTTTCTCAGTATTATTTATTTGTGTGACAGTAGCACCTAGAGGCCAAGTCCTTGTTGCCCAAGGCATTGTCCAAACATATGACAGAGTCCCTGCCCCAAAGAGCTTACAGCCTAAATAAAGATATTGGGGTCTGTAACAGCTAACAGCTTTGTTAGATGCACAGCAAGACAGAGAGCTAATGAGCCAAATTTATCCCTCGTGTAGCTCTACAAATGGAAGTGGAATTCTAACCAGAATGAAGTTAGCTAAATAGTTCTGTAGGCGATGAAGTTTTTTCTAGTATTAGGCTTGAGCAATATTGTCCGCACCCTAAGACTAACTCCACAAACACGATTCGCATCCCAACAGACCTGCCATCCATGCAAATCCTTTATAAATAGTGTACAAAAGGAACAGATTGTATTGAGAGTTACACGTGTGGGCTTAGTAGGGTGGCAAGAGAGGTCTGCGCAACCCTAACTGAAAACCACTTAACATAAAAAAGCCCACACACATATTTTAGAAGCAACTAGGATATTTATTTATGTATGTTAAAGCAATCATTCTTTCCAGAGTGTTCTTTTCTTGAAATGTTTCACGCTGGGGAGGTGGGAAATGTTCTACCACCTTGAATTTTATTCCTGAAAGAAAGTTACCTGTTTTAGGTGGTGAACGCCTATCATCTTAGAGTGCGTCGAAAGAATCCGGTGACCGGGAATTATGTGAAAATGAGTTTACAGCTTTACCAGGTTGACAATCGCAGCTATCTTTTGGACTTTAAAAGCATTGATGGTAAGCAGGAAGTGTTGTGGCATGACAGTTGAATCGCATAGAATGGGGAATTTCGAGGGTTTTGTCACTTTCTATATTCAGACTCTCCTATAGTATCTCTAGTCCACTTGAGTAACTCTGGTCCATTCATCTCCACTAGCGCGACTGTGACAGTTTAATAGTTCTTTATACTTGCGAAAGGGGAAAAATCAATTCCAGCGAGCCTACCCATTTGTCACTGCACCACATACTTTTCCCTCATCTGCTGCAAATGCATTTTGATCTTAAGTGATCACACACAGCAAAGTGTGTAGAAGTAGCTAGATACCAGAGCACTTATGTATTTTTACTTTATAGAATCTCCCAAGCAGGTATACGCAGCGAGCTTTAATCTAAGACTTCCTTTTCCCCCTCCTAATGTAACACCCATTTTAGCTGGTACACTTCTAGGGTGAAATCCTGGCCCTACTGAAGGTAACAGGAGTTTGGTCACTGACTTCAGCGGAGCCAGAATTTCATTCCCAGCATGGGTGCGCTGTTGATGCAAGTGTTCCTTTCTTGGCCAGGTCCCACCCCCGGGGTAGCAGCTGAGTAGATTTTAAATAACGCTGTTTGTTTGTGCATTTAAGATGATGTCATGGAGCAGAGGTCAGGCTCATCCACACCACAGCGCTCATGCTCTGCGGCTGGCTTGCACAGACCAAGACTGAGTATTGATTCTACCACTGCTGAATTCCAGTCGCTTACTGGATCCCTGACTGGCTCCTTGATGGGGAGCGTGGCCTCCGTTACGCCACGCCTGGGTAGCCACACCATGGATTTTTTTGAAATGTGTGCCAGTCTGATCATGGCATTAGCTCGCTGATGCTCAGTGCTGAGGCACCTGTCCCTCGACACGCGTGATTGCACGGAGAATCTGGTCCTAGGTGGTTTCTTTTTCCGTTTGTTTTGTCGTATCCTGGGCATAGCGTACACTGTCGTGCACAAACACTCCCTCCAGACCCAAATACTCCCATCGGTGGCTCCAGTTGCCATTACAAAGCACTGAGGGAAACTAGAAACAGGTTTGTCTCATTTATTACACTAGTTTCACCACAGTATAAACCAAACTGCTTTTACTAGTGAAGATGAAATGTGAAAAACCGGGCCTGGTTTTAAAACAGTAACTGCATCAGTGAGCAACCCTTCCCGCAGTGCTGCCTGTCTCTACATATGGAAACTTGGCTGAACCTCAATATCTACAATATGGGTATTCTCTAGTGACATACATATTGTATCCCCTCTGCTAGTCAAGGGGGCTCACTTGCGTGAGCCAGATGAGAGGTATAAACAAGTAACTATATTAAACAAAATCCAGCTCTAATAAAACTCCTGCAATATTTACAAACTGATGCCAGCCAATCTCTGTGAACAGCTCTGGCATAAAAACCAGCAGCTGCATGGAGGTTTCTGGGATCTTGGAACACGCAACCCCGTTTTAGATATCAGGTGGCAGAAGTGCAGGGTCACACATGAGGCACGGCTCACGCCCCTCAGAGACCTTCACACATTAAGGCTTTGAATTAGAGAGAGCTGTTTCCCCAGATGATTTCCCCCTCCCTCCTCCTGCTTTGGGTCTATGGAATAGTCCTGGCCTGGTGGCCTCCTTTTAATGTTCAAGGCTACTTGGTTTTTCCCCCTCTCTGGCCACCAATTGCATTGCACGATATATACTCAACCTGCTTTTGGTCACGTTAGGGCTCCTGTAAATTACTACAAGCCTTGCCTCACCTCCTACCAAATATTTCAGATAGCTGTCTTGTAAGCAGCACAGATTTCTGAGCTGGGGAAAAATTCTTAACTTCTCAGTAGATGAAGCCGATACCAAGGTTTGTGCAACGCTCTGTTTAACATTTCTGGAGCGGTGAGAAATAGTCACTGGTCTCCCTTTCAGGGTATCAGCCCTCCTGAGCAGAAGCAAGTGTTGGGGAGGTAGAGGGACTGGGTGGAGGGAGCCATTAGAACACACTACACTGAAGGTACTTGGTAGGAGCAAAGGAAAAAAGAAACTAGACGAGGGATTTCTGGAGGGAGAGAGCCTGAGAGATTGGTGGGGAGTTGACACTGTCTGGGTGGTATTATCAAGGACAGTGGGGAAGGGGTGGGGGAGGGAGGAGGAGAGAACCACTCCATTCTGCTCCTCACCCCATTAGCTGCCCAGGCCCATCCCAATCCTCGTTCAGCCCATAAGTGACAAAATAGTTGGATTGCTTAAGTGGTAGTGGCAATTTTCCTTTGTGAAATGCACAGGCACCTGGGAGTTTCCATAGGGTTTATATTTCAAATGATCTCTCAGAGCAGGTCCTTTTCTTTATCCTTGATCCCTTTCCCAAGTCAGCTGCCAAATGTACCTTACCAGTCCTACAGCGCAGAGGGTCTCCCTCTTGTACTGTTTCAGGATAGTCAGCAGTTAAGTTTCAAAGTGGCGTTCCAGACCGTAGGGCTTTCATGTACTTCTAACACTTAATAGACTGTGACCTTCGCTGCTATAGTGATAAGGCAGGGATGTCTTATAGATTTATTATTTCTTTACTATTGGCTAACTGAAGGATAAGCTTTTGCTAAAATAAAGAGATGGATGTGTAAGGTTAAAAGTTTTGTTACACAAGGGTAAACTCCATGGATGAACTTTTACCAAAACTTTTTTTTTTTAAAAAATGACTTAGGCTTAATCTAATGGGTACCATTGGCATTTGCCTAGTTTTGCTATGGTATTTAATTCCTATCACCTGACTATCAGAGACCAGGGTCAAACTAATCAAGTCAAGAAACAGACACTGCATGAAAACATTGCCAAAACTCTTGCCTGTTTATTTAAAAAAGTAAAAGGAGAATTTTGGCAAGGGGGCTGCTTCTACATTAGTGAAAACGATCATCATTCTACTTGTAAAGCTATTAAAAACAGCCCATAAGGTTCTTTGGCTAGGAACTATTTATTGTGTTATTAAACTCCACTATACATCCTGAAAGTTTCTATAAGAAGCAAGAAAAAAATCATCATACATTAGGCCTTTTGTCTTAATCGTTTGAGATAATGTAGACAAATATGGGATATTTTGCTACCTACTGGCTGTTAGTGGGACACTTTCAGCTTAAAAAAAAGTCTAATTTTTAAAAACAAGTTGCCTTACTTTTGTTGCAGATCACACTTTAGACTTACACAAGTGTAACTTTACAACTCTGGCTTTTCCACTATCTGTGCCCATTATTTACTCTCTGCCTGTCTTTCAGGTTAGACAAGAAGAGCAGCGTAGTCTGTTTCAAAATCAATTTCACTGTCAGAGTCCTGTATACAGTACTAGCCCAGTGCTGCAGTATTTGAATTACAAGCCCTGCAGCAGAATGACTGTGCTTTTCAAAGAAACGCAAGGAATGCGTGTCGGGTTCTTTGCTTGTTACATAACCTATTTTTGAAAAAATAAAATATAATACTGTAGGGTGGAGGGATCTCCATGGCTTTGAACCTGTGCCTGGTATTTGTAAAATTTTACAAGCCTTTTGCTTGTGTGTCAGTGATGATGCAAGTCAGTGGAGAATCCAGCCCCCTACCTCTATACATTTGGGGCCAAATGTGATTTCCTTCTGGCCCCTGTAAGTTCATGTCACTTTCGTAATAGGGATTCCAGTTTTGTCCATGCATCGCTTACCTAGCATTTTAAACACAAAAAGTAACAGAACTTTGTTCTTCTGTCGAAAAATACAGTGCCGATAATGTATCTCAGGATCCTGCAGATCCAGGCCCATGCCTGGAGAAAGTGATGCACATGACCTGCATGTCTGCTCCAAATTTTTTACGACACCTTTGGAGAAAAAACCCTGGGCATGGGGGAAATGGACCTTTCTGATCCATAGAATATGCCTAATAGGCCTTAACCAGAGCAAGTTTTCAGTTTTAAGGCAGGAAGGGGTAGAATAGTACAGCGGTGGACTACTGGAGGCTGGCAGTAGTTTGGACATTGTAGATGGAGGGCATCTGAGAGGTGAGCAGGGCCTACTACTCATTAGTATCTGAGTCATGACAACATGGCCTCCATCACCACCGCATTGTGCACCATAGTCTTCAATCTGTTTGTCCTTTATTGTCAGGTAGGGAAGTGTTAATTATCCCCACTCGCCTAAGGTAACACACCAAGTCTGTAGGAGAGCAGGGAACTGAACTCTCTTCTCCCACATTGGCACCACTAGAGTTCCTTTAAGATGACACACTCCCTTCCTACAGGGTTAGGACATGTGGAATTACTAGGCACTAGGGTAAGACTTACCACTTACATAGCACTTTACATCTTTAAGATGCTGTGCAAACATTAACTAATGAATGAAGCCACACAGACATGCCTTGTTGAGTAGGTAGTAATAGAATATCCCAGTTTTACAGATGAAGAAACACTTTCCAAAAGAGGCTAAGCAACTTTTGTACTATAAGTCAACAGAACACATTAGTAGCAACCACATTAGTACTCAGGTGTTCCTAACTGTCAACTCCTTTAGTCAATTTACTAGATAACACTGCCTCTGCAGAAGGCTTGATAGAGTAGCACCTCTATTAATATAGAACATTAAACTATCCATTCAACTATCTAACCCAACTCAGCTGTATATTTTGCAATCTTTTGAGGAACTGTATTAGTTAATGCTACTCATATAGCATGAGTTATTATGTATTCTAACGATACAGAAGCTGCTGTACTCAGATATAGTTTCAGATGGTCATTAGCCACATCTTTAGCCAACTTTTTGGTTATACTTATGCATTTATCATCATTTGGGCAAGCAGGGTAGATATATTTTAATTATACAGACTTGAACTACTCAAAGTGCAATTTTCAAGCAGTGGATATCTACATTTTGCAAATCACAGGTTTACCGGGATGTCAGAACACTGACATTTTCTAGACTCAAAACTGAACTTTTCAAGATTGAAGGCAGGATTATTTTTTTTTAACGAGACAAGTTAATTTTTACCCAACACATTAAAATTTAGTCCTTCCAAAGGTGTACTTTAGGACAGACACACTAACACCGTAGGAAGAAATGACACAGCTTTTTGTCAGTCTCTGCTGTATTCTTATTGTGGTCATACCAATTCATTTACATCAAAACAGAAGAGGTTATCTAGTTTAGACGACCTATCAATCAATTCCTGCCCAATTTACAAAAAAACTCAAGCATCAATGGGGTATTTTATACATCAGATTTAGAAGAAAAATCCATACATTTTACATACAAAATGAATTTGTGCCTTCTACATATGTTAATTGCAGAAAGTCATAATTTCATTTCACTTGGTCTGCAAACAACATGTTTGATTCAGCATCATGCTGACAAGAAATGCATAGAATCTTTATAAATACTTGAAGTGCATTTGTTGTGTTCTCATTTTGGCTCAGTCTTTAACTAGTTTAGTTCTAGAAAGAAATGTCATCCTATTGATAAAAGACACCTGCTCTAATTTCTTTAATATTTTACTTGTAGTGTACAAGGATGCAGTGAAGTGCAACTTAAAATGTACCATCAAGCTACTGCATTCACCCTTCTGTTTTCCCCCTCAGTCTTATTTTCAATATTTCCTGTTGCTTATTTAACACTTCCCTTTAGTATGCTTTTGGTTCTTCCCCATCACACATTTGGATATTCATTTTTATAGCTTCTTTTTGTAAGACACACTAGAAGATCATTACTCAGATTTAACATGGACTATAAATGTATTGGTGAGTAAAATGTACCCACTTACCCTATCCCCCCCACACACACGCTTCAAGTCTTCATGGATATTGGTATCAGATTTTTAACCGACACTAAAAAAAAAAATCCCACTTTGTGTATGTGTTTGTGTGACTGAACACTGACTCAGTACAAACTAGGATGTTGATATTATATGCAATGGTCTAAGCATTTTATGCACACATCTTTGCCATTGTTAATAATCAGGAGAACTGGTCAGCATATCAAAGATCCAAATGGTAAGCGTGAATCATTTTTTCCTATAAAACCAAGTAGTACTCTATTCTCAAGCAAAGTCTTGATGCTCCTGCTGCAGCTGCCTTAACTTATCTTTGTAACTTATTTATAAGACTGTTCATGCTCATCTGTGGTTTTCTGATCTTTTAAAATGTGGGGTGGGGGACAGGGGGAGATAGCATTTCACAAAGCTGTGAAGTAGATACTGCAAACATTGTAATATTTATTCTTGTTGCTGGAAGCCTGTTCGTGTGTTTCATATGTTATAATTGTATATCTTATAGCTTTTTCTTCCCCTTTAGAGTACAAAGCAAAACTGAAAATTACATGACAGCTATAGTGTCCTTGACCCATTATATTAAGACAGATATCCTAAGTTCTTAGTAATCTCAGACTAGTACATTGCATTTTCCTATTAATATTTTATTTTAAAGAAAATGGATATTTATGATTTTCTCATTAAAATATTTTAGCTGCTAATATTAAGAGCTCAGACTATAAAGATTTAAAAAAAGGAATGTCAAACATGGGGTTCAGAAGACAAATTCTCTAAAGAGTTTTGTTTTTCTTGGCTTTTCACATTTAATTAACAGAAGAACCAAGAAAGGAAAGGGTTTTGTTTTTGTTTTTTTTTTTAAACTCTTATGATTAAAATATTTTTTGGATAATCATTATTGTGGAAGGGCACTGAGCATAGTTTCAGTTTTGTTCTTTGTGCACATAATTATGTCTCAGATAATCACAAAAAAAGCCTTTTACCTTCCATTTATGGTGTGGAAACTTTGTCTTTGTGTACTGCACTGCATGGGATGCGGTCTCCATGGTTGACATTTGCACTTTAATAAACTCAGAAGAAAAAAAATGATAGCAACAAATGTTTTAAATATAAACTAGAATATCTCAGTACTGTTGGACTTATGATTAGTCCATTTCCCCCTAGTTGCCAATATCAAGAGACAACTGAGAAAAATTAAGGTTCGCCACACATAAAAGAAAATGAACTTCCCCTTACAGATCAGTTATTTCATAATCATTTTGCCACTGGCTTCAAGGGGCCAGGATCTCACTTTCTGTCCCAGTATTCTTGACGTACCTCATGTTTGGATATTTTAGACCTCAAAATTTCACTGGATTCCATAATATTAATAGCCAAACACCTTAACGGGATGGATGAAATCAATGTGATCTAGTGGTTACTAACACAAACACACAGAATCCAACCTTGGCTCCCTGTGCAAAAAGCTGGGGAGGAGCAAGGGGCTGTGGGGCGGGGGAGATCTTGCAATGGCACATCCCTTGATTGCAGGGGAATGGTATAAAAGCTGGTTTGGAAAGCTTGTGATCTGGTTGCAGGCTCTGTTGCAGCACATGGAATGGGTGATCTAGTGGTTTTACATAGTTTGCAACATGCATTTTGATTTCCTCTCAGTTCCTCAGCTTCTTTACATGGTGTTTCCATGGCCACAGAACTGACAACTAAGCCAAAGAAACTTGGGTTCTCTCAGTACCAATAAAATGATGGTTGGCATATTACCAAGAGCATTTGTGTTTTCAGAAGATGGGTGGGAAGTTTATATAGATTTTATTTTAAGTCTTCATCAATTTTCAAACAGAACTACAAAGGGGAGCCATCTCTAAAATAGTTTCCTGTGTGCAACACATTGATGTGATTACAACTAAATGTGTGTATTAAATTTTCCTAATTCACTGGAGTACAAATTAGTATGCACTACAGAAGTTTATGCACAATCAGCCTTTCACATATCAAGTACTATTGTTCAGTACATACAGTTGCCAGAACAGTATGTTGGAATCTGTCGGCAAACTGATGCCTTGTAGAGACGGTTTAATTTTGTTTTAACAAGAGAAATAGACACGTTCGTTGCAGCCAACACCAACATGAAGCTGTTCTGTAAAAGGACACAATCTATTTTTCTTTTTAATTGCCTTGAAGGCATAAAGTTTCACTAGTGGCATATGGTGATTTAGGGCCCAACCCTGTGATCCTCAGTGTCATGCATTGAAGTCAGTAAAGTACAGGTTGAAGAGGGTTGGATTCAGAGAGTTATGGAATGACACCAGCTCCTCAGCTGGTGTAGATTGTCACGTCTCCATGGGCTCAAGTTGAGGATCTGCCCCAGTAAGTATTTTACAGCTGCACCTTCATTCTATGGTTTGATGGGGTTTTTTGGTTGTTCTGTCAGTTTTAGAACAGATACCTTTGTTACTATATATATATAAAAAATGAACAATCCTACACGTAATTTTCTTCTTACTGATTTCAATAAACCAAATAAAAAAAATTCAGGCCAACAGTGTTCTTAAAAAAAAAAAATATTAAGACTCAGATGCATTTGCATTGCTAAAGCCCAAATCTAAGATTCTTATATAAGAAAGCGATAGGCAACTTGCCATAGCAACTTAGCTAAATATAGTTACACTGAAAAGGCGGTAGATGACGGACATAATACAAATTCCAGTCTGTTCTGAAACCAGATGAACACTTCAGCATCACAAGTAGTCCATCTAGATTTTGAGAAGTCTAAATATTTGTGCTGGCAACCTTGCAAAGCTGTGCATGCTTAACTTTTTTTGTAAGTATGGATGTGGGCCAGCACACTTAATGGTAACCACATGTTAAAATAATAATAAAAATCCCTGTATGTCTACTTCTGAGTAAATGTGAAATATTTGCTCTGTTTTCTTGAAGGTTTCCATGCCAGGCTTGAATTAACTGTGGAGTGAACACAGCATTTTTGTTGTGGCGTGTGCACTTAGCCACGGAAAACATCTATTTCTGAATAAGCCACCCTCTAACAATTTTTAGGACTACTCAGCTTACTGTGTATAAAGGAACAGATTCCAGTCTCAGGTACAGGTATTTCATGCCACAGAATCTTGAAAAACTTTTAATACATACAGGAGACAGAGTTAGAGCCGTAGCGTAATTCTTTTTCTGAGCAGTATTTCCTCATGGTCCTTTAGATTAGAAGTGGATCAGATTCCCCACCTATTCTTTTTAGGACCAGTAACTACATGGTAGACCAAAAGCAAGGCATTACTAGTAGATATAGTCCTCCGTTTTAGGAACAGATTTTAAAAAATGGTTAGGACTAGATTGTAAATGCACAAGTGACAGACACTTACCTCTTTCAATGGGAGTAAGGTACCTGTCATTTCTGCCTTTGAAATATGGCCCCAGTAGGCCCAGCAATTTAGCTTTCTAAAGTCAAAAATCAATATAATAAAGTGAATTTTGCATTTAGTGTTTATTTACAAACTACTTTTAAAATTAATATTTCTTAAAGATACAAGTAACTCCTCCATCGCTAATATGGTTTTTAACCCAGCAACAACAGTACCAAATATTTCACAATTTGTTCTCTGGCTCAAATCCAGAAACATAGCTTAGTCATAAGAATCCATAATTTGCATACAAGTGCATCAAAAGTTCCTCAGGAAGTTAACATTTCCAACATCATTAAGAAAGTGACAGTAACCAGACAAACATCATGTAATCATTATGCACAGTGAATGCCTAGTAAATATTAAGAATCCTACCCTACAAATTCCAAGCTACATACAGTGTAGAAAAATTCACAGGTAAGGTAACTGAATGTCCACCTTTAGGTAGACCTTGTACAAAGTAAGCAACACTAGAAGTAGTGAACAGAGGGATAATTCCCTAAACAAGTTGCACGTGTTACCTGTTGTACATTCAATGGGTGTTCCATCTTTTTAAAATATATAGATCCTTTTAAATGGAAAAAAAAACCACACACTTCTAATTTACATTCATATCCGCTTTCCACAATTGGCACGTATAGGCACACCTGCACCATCTTTGGGAAGCTTAAAGCAGATTCTCCACAAGGCTCCCCAGGAAGAGGCTGTCCATCAGATGACCAATATTAATGGCTGGCCCACAAAAGAAAAAAAAAGTTTTACTGTAATAGGCATCTTGCCAAAATATGCATCGAATTGTCTGTTGCAATATTGCATTTATATACTTATTTACATCTGATGCATTTAAACTTTTAATACTAAGCTGAACGTATATAAAAATCTACCACATTGTCAGCAGGCGTAAATTGGCCTAGCTTCCCTGACTTCAATGGCACATCGTCCGTTTACGTCAGTCTAGTATGCTGGCACAGTATATTTCTAGCTGCAGTCAGACTAGCATTAGTACAGCTTTAAGTTGCTGCTTAAAGTTACTACTGCTTAGTATTACAAAGTAGGGAAATATTTGAGTTAAACACTATTTTTATATGAACAAATTAAAACACAAACTTTCCCACCAGCAATAGAAGTTTTATATGCCCTCAATACAGCGAGAGTTTCTGACCATAGGAATTGTAAAAACAAATAAATCCAGATTTACCTGAAATCCAAATGCTCCAATAGCACATAGCCATCTAAGGAGGAAAAGAAAATCAATATGCACATGATTCATCTGCAACTTTGTATATTTGCTTGCTGTGCTAGTCACAAACTGCCTGCAGCAACTTTCTAAATATCTTTGTCTCACAAAAGTTGATTAAAACATGATCCCGTGTCGTTAAGCAACCGTTGCAAACTTACATTTGCCCTCAGAATTGCGACATATTACTTGATTCTCTTCTGTGACGTCAATAACATCGAGTTGTTCTCCGGCGGTGATTGGTAAATCAAGTTTTCCTTTGCTTGCGACAGAACAGTGTGCAACTGCTGTGTTGATGACTGTGATTTCCTTATTGTACTAAAAAAATATATATATATAAAAATACATCACTACATATTAGGCCCTTTATCTATCTTCTGATCTCAGAACTATAACTATCGAAGATGGAAGTACTTTTGTAAAATAATGATTAAGGTGATTTGGGGGGAGAACTATTACAAGTGTTTAAAGATAGTGAAAACCCAAAGAAGGACAGGAATTCTTAGGGCTGCACACAAAGGAGGATAAATTTAAGTAAATTAAACCACATTTTAAAAAATAAAGTTTCCTCTTAATGCCCGTGTAAGTGTTCAAGACAGTGAGATCAATTACAACTATGGTACAGCCTCCTGGGGGAAGTGATTGAAGTGTCTCATGGAACATTTAAAAATGGACTGAACAACATACTAAATAACGGGCTTTAAGGTGGTACCGTAATCACATGTGTGCATAGGTTTGATCCAAAAATTCTCCCATTAAAAACAAACAAAAAAAAAAAACAAAAAACAACCCCCCCCACACACACTTCACAACCACACATGACAGAACAAAAATTCTCAGAGGAAACTTAGTCATAACTTGCCATGACAACTTGCAATGATAAGTCTCTAATCTACATTGCAGCTCCTCCCATGGATGGCTGATGTCAGCTCAACTCCTGCCTCTCCATATTAAGAACAGAGGTGTTGCTGAGAGGTTGAGAGAGATCCTTTCCTGTGCCCTTTGGGAAAGATCTCCTAATTGTGCAGCTACTGGCATCTGTTAGTTTACCATTCCCCACTTTCTTCCTAGCAGCAGGACCCTTCCTTCCGAGTGCCTCTCTATTCCCTCCCCAAACAGACTGGCCTCTCCGCTGTGAGAGACACCTAATTTCACCATCCAGAACACTAGACCGAGTTCCCCGTTGCAGCAGGCAGTTCTTGAATGATGTTAATAATTAAAGCGAATTCATTTGTTACAGAGGACTAGATTCCCAAAGACTCTGCTAGAGCAGAAGCAGCAATCCTACTCTTATAAACCATAGCACGAACTCAGCAGGGCAGCTTATAGCCTACCAAGCCTGTACAGCATTATGGAAAATGTTTATATAAAGGTCCTTTGAATCAGTATCTCCCAGTTTGGTGGGTGCAATCGAGAGGTGGCTCAGGAAAGGGTACCATCTGGGTTAGACTGCACCTGCTGAGTCACTAGAACCAAAAAGTTGGATTAGGGGAGGGAAAGAGGAGCTGATGATTTCTCAGTTCCACCCCTATTCTGGCCCCAGCCAATTCTGAGGCAGCTCTATTCCCACCATCCCCAGCTGGAAAAGATTGTGAGATATACTAGGTTACAAGGGGATTTGTGTGGCCTTTTAAAGGGACTGAACCACAGATCTGGAATATAGGATGCTGCTGACTATCTAGCGTACCATGAATAAAGATTGTTCACTTTCTGTAGTTCATCCTTTAAGTATCGCACATAACCATAGTTGGCCTCTCACACTGCTGATTGTTTTCTTTAAAGAGGAAAGAAAAAGAACACATACCATAAATTTCTCTCTAAATAACTTCTCTTCTTTTGCCACCTTCTTTCTCTTGTCTATGTTATATTTCTTGGCTTTGAAGAAGTTTCTAGAGGAAAGACTGCATCAAGAAGGGAGACATTCTTAGAAGCTCCTTTTTAATCCTTCAGTGAGCGAAGCAGCATGAAACACAGCACAATGCATACAGCAGCACTGAACAATTCTAATTTAGTTTGGAATGAATCATTGCAAGAACAAAGCAAGCGGACTGTGTCAGTGTCTTCTCACAGTGCGTATTAAAAACACAAACATATGCAGCTTGGATCAATCTAGGCTTAGTGACAGATTCACTTCACCTGTGTTTTGCATAAAGCTGTGCTTTTTTTAGGGATACAGTCACGATAGAGCATTTTAAATAGTTTAAGTGAGTAATTTTTATGGAGGTAGGGCAGGAGGAGAATGGGGCAGCTTTCTCCCTTCAGCAATTTCCATTCCCTACCCCCACCCTGCTATTTAAGATTTTATTGGACACTTAAGGCCCTGAGAGTCTGCGTAGAGTCCAAATGAAGTCAATGGGACAGAATGCGGGAATGGGAGTCTACATCATTACCCTTTTTTAATCAATGGAGAAGCATAGTGCTCTGAAAGCCCCACTTTCCTAGTACACTATCAAATGATGTACAATTAGAAATCAGAAAGGCTACAAAATTAATAAGCCTTTCTAGTCTGAGACTTAAGTAGAGCTATAATAGTTTACACTAGCTCAGGATCTTCCCCTCCACTTGCATTTGAGAGATGTTAAAGATGGTTTGAAAAAGAAATCCAGAATAGTGATCAATTCTGGATCATTAATAAATAGGAAACTATGGAAAAAGGAGTATACCCTTTCCACCTCAATAGCCATTCTAGAACACATTTATTATTACGTTTTAGTCAATGAAGTTTACCTTTGAAATTCAGTGGTAAATCTCCAGTTAATATTATATGCTTCTATTAACTCAGACGAGGGAATTTTGGGCTCAGTTTTTTTTGCAAGGGCTCTCTATAGACTTCAGTGGCATAGGATTAAATGTCCTTTGAGCTTTTAAACACAGGGTGAAATCCCAGCCCCATTGCAACCACTGGCAAAACTCCAATTGTGGGTGAAATCTTGTACCACTGAAGTCAGTCTTGTTTGAGATTAATTTTCTCTAGGTACAAGAAGCGTTGATCCCCATTATTTGGAAAGGAGGGTCATACAGTGTGATGACGATATCAGAATATTCTAAAACTAAAATAAGACACACTTGTAAGTTACTTACCTTCAGCTACTTTCCACCATTCAGTTAAAAAAAATAGGAAATAAGATCCAATATTAGGCAGTTCTTAAAGACTAAGCATTTAAGATCATATTAACAAGATTCTCCATTGATACTTTCAGCCCCTAAAATCTCTATGTCCACGTAACAGAGGAAATCTCATGTTAGTTACATTGCATGTCTTCCTTCAGCCATTACACAAGTCTCAGTAGAAACAGAATAAGAGTGACTGCTAGTCAACATGCTAGGTGACACCTGTGAAGGGTCAGCAATGCTTGTTTAAAAGTCCCAGAATATTAGTTGCTATCTAGAGCTGTGCACACGTTTGTATTTGAAGTGAAACTGGAAAGTTTGGGGCATTTCGCTTAAGTTTTCACAGCAGGAAAAGCCAACATTACTGAATGTAGTGTTATTGTGGCCATGTTGGTCCCAGGATATTAGAGAGACAAGGTGCATGAGGTAATTTCTTTTATTGGTCAACTTCTGTCGGTTAGAAAGAGAAGCTTTCAAGCTTACCCAAAGCTCTCACCTTATCTTACATGGTGGGTTAAAGCATCCGTACATCAATGAGCACTAGGGAACTTTTAATGCGTTTCAGCAGGATCTACACAGACAGTTACTGTGCAGCACCCTGGAGGACTAATCCCAGCTTGCCACATGGTACGTGCTTGTGTGGACACTGCCTATGTTGTATGCACATCCTAGAGACATCTAAAAAGAGGTAGTTCTTCTGGCCAGTGTTTTCTCCCAGCACAGACCAATCACCGATACTTTGGTCTCAAATGCTTGTTTAAAGAGGTTGTATTTAGGCTGAGGAGCTGTTCCACTACACTGCACAGCATTAGGTAGATATAGTCCTACCTCAACTAGAGAGAAGAGAGGCTACAAAACTTCAGGATAAAACTTTGGGGAAAGAAGGCCCTTGAAGAATTCCCCACTCACACATACACACCAAGGTTATACGTTTCCTTCAAGTCTAGTTTCTGCAAACTTTGGTAGACCGTTTTCATGAAATTTTGCAAAGTGAAAGGATACTCTCTCAGTGTTATCAAAGTCTAAGAAAATGCTCTCTCTCAAAGTTTAAATTAATGTTGGACTGGGAAGACTGACACCTTGTACTTAATTGGGAAGAATACATACAATTATAGAAAAAAAGATCTTTTGTTACCTTTCTATATCTTCACTGCTTCTTGTTTGATCTTTATCTTTTGGCATCAGAAATTTTAGCTTCCAATTTTTGTGTTTGTCGTCCTTCTCTCTAGGGGAAAAAAGGAGCAATTGAGGATATTTATAACAATCCTTTTCAAACAGAAGGGCGGCACAAGGATTTTTTATTTAAAGAGATATCGAATTTCACACACCACTGAAACGCAAACACTTAATGCAGGAACCTTGCTGCTTATACCAGTTTACATCAATACTGCTCAATAGTTGAAGAGCAAGAAATGAAGTACATGCTATCTAGTTAAGATTACAGGGAGACATTTTTGCAGAAGGCAAAATGCAGCTACACAAGAGTTGGACTGGGCACATTGGGGATTAAATCCCCATCTCTTATGGATAGTTTCATGAGCCACAAGGAGACAAGGCTTCACTTTACATTGTATCCAAAAGACAGCACTATGCTAGGGTTCACTTACAACACTTTTAGGATGCCACCTGCCAATTCAGAAACATCTTTTCCTAGAGCACCTGAGCTTTTCCTAGAGAACTCCTATAAATACTGACCCTACCTTGCTTAGCTTATAAAAAGGTACAGTGAAAGTGTCTCTCTGAAGGCCAACATAGTATGCCACAGATTTGTGGAGGAATGTTGCCTGCAGCATAAGAACCTGTTTTGGAGAAATATTACAGTAGTCATCCTCTTTTGTAAAAGTGGGTTACTTACTTTGCATCTTTTTGATCCACATCAATGCCATCATATGCCATGTTTCCTTGGGACACCACCTCTGTTATCAAAACATTCAGCGTAACGGTGAGTCAGAAAACATTCATCTGAGTACGGTATTTGAAACCACTGACTGTAATAAAACTGGGACTGCACCTCGCCTGTCTGAAACGCTATCAATCCAAAGAAACTAAATGCTGTAGCAATGAAGGATTCTCAAGGCAAAAGGAAGGAGACTTCCCCATGAGTAGGCACCGGTGGCTAGGGAGAAATAATTAAAAACACCCAAAGACATCTCTAAAAGAGTCATTTGCCTGAGCGCACTGCTCTGGTTGGAAATTTACAGTTCTTGGGATGTAACAGTTGGGATTTCATTCTGCTCTCAACTAGTTTAATGCCATTTAAAAAGAAAATCTATATTTTTTAATGCTAGAAAGGCCTATTATGATCACCTACCCCAACTTCCTACATAACACAGGCCAGGAATTTGAACCCAGGTCTCAAGTCCCAGGTTTGTGCCCTAAGCACTGGACCAGACTTTCTAAGGAATTAGCCCCAATTTACACATGGGACACAGTCAGACCCTATAAATTATTCTGAGGAATATGGTACATTCGTTCTGATAGGAGGATGAAATTCTAGGGCTCAATTCAGACTCTGTTAAAGTGGGGGCAATCCAGTTGAGTCCACTGGAATCATTCCCATTTGTACCAGATCCAAATCTGGCCCTTTCCCCTTCACGACCCGAAATGGCTTTCACAAAAGATTCTCAAGAACGGTCAGAGGAATCCTGGAGTGCTTTATTGAGCAAGTCGGCTACTGAAACAGTTTACATCTGCGCAAGAATAACCTCGCCTCCATACCCCACCTCAAAACCACAAGTAAAGTGCACACCTATATTAAGTCTTTAAAATTAACACTGCTACATACCAATTTTAGAGCGTTACAGTATACAGTCTATTTTAAAAGAGGCAAGACACCCATACCACCCCTTCCAGGCACATTCCAATGTAATCACACACATACACAGCTTACCTAAGTTTGGTACTGAACTGGACAATATGCTGGAGGGGGCGGGAGGGAGAGAGAGAAAACACATGGAGGAAAAAAAATTATTTACATACAAACATGTTAAAACAGCCATCTTAGCAGCATGGCAACTGTACCGGTGGCTCAAGGGAAGATTCTACATTGAGGCTCTGGAATGCTACAGGTCTAAGAATAAATTATGTTCTCACGCCCCCTCGTCCCAATGATCCATTAAATCTTTGAAGAGTCAGTCTGTCCTTTTATATTCTGCATCTCCCTAACATACGCGTGAACACTTTTCAGACCTCCAAAGCTAAGAGGCAGACACACAGTCTAAAATGGTTATTATGGGGACGCCACAATTGAAAGTGCCTTTTCAAAGACCAGAACATAGAAGAAAGGAAAGAGCTGACACTGGCCAAATATTTCTCCCATACTGGTCAATGAATGCAGCATGCCATGCACCTGTCTGTAAGCTAACATGGAGTTTTATGATGACCTCCTTATTAGGTCTTAATTACAAGATCCACAGCAGTGTTCAGAACTCTTTTCTGTGATACAAGAAGGTATAGTGTGAAAGTTTAAGCAACATATGGTAGATCATTAGTATGATCATAATTTAGCAGGTATGGAGCAAGGAGATGCTAAAGAGTGAGGGAACAGAGGAAAGAGTGAGAACGGATTTAAAGAAATGAGGCAAGCATCATCAGAGCTTTTTACAGAAATAAAAAACCCAAGACAGCCAAAATGATGGATGAGTACCTAAAAGAAGAGAGGACACATACTGTACCTGTGGTTAAAGGCCCACTAAATACCCACACCTTCTCTTTTTAGGAAATGAAGCAGACAAATCAGTTCATGTCCATGTGTGTGTAGATAATATTTTGCACAAGTGCTGGAGTTCAGTCAACTTGCAGCCACTTATCCAACTCTTTCTAAAAGCGGTCTGCTTTCCCTAAATTCAAGTGCTGGATATTAAGAGAAGTTGTGTACATGACAGACAGCTTTCATACTGTAGCTCCCACTACACATTCCCAAAACACAGCTATATTCCTTTAAAGCCAGGAAAAAAAAAATCCCACCAGACATTCTCAGGACCAAAAGAGTATGGCACCATAGTGCACCTGCTTCATCTGACAGTAGGCGTTTTGCAGAGAGGGGTCAAGAGACCTTATGTTCTGCAGCCAACCATCATGCATTCATGAAGTGAGAAACTGACACAAGCCAGCATCTTGAATATGAAGCCAACAGGACTCGAAAGAGTACTAGAAAAAGGTAGACAATATTCCTTCATGTGTCATTAACTTGTTATACCAGAGACTGAATGGTCTCCTCTTTCTTATCAGATACAATTGCCAGCTTGAATGTGAAAGGCAAATCTTCTCCTCTAAGGTACCACCTTTCCCAACCTACAGGTGACATAAGCACATGCAGGTCTCTGCGTTGCTAATACCATATTGCTGTGTCTGTCTCCTACAGACATGCAACATTTTTCAAGGTTTCATCAGCAGTGCAGAGAGAGGAAGTCAGAGCTTTACTTAGCTCTCCACAGAACGTGGTTCAGTTAAGTCATTTTAAAAATAAAGGAGTTGGTTGAGATCAGTGGGTTTTTATGCCAGACTAATCCATGAAGTAGATGGGAGGCTTTCCACAGACTTCAAAATTTCTATTCTGCCATCCTCCGCCTCTGCCCCAATGATTAGGGTTTAATTCTGCCTCTCAAGGCAAAAAGTGGGGGGAAAGCCATTGATATTGGTGCTCCTAAGAATGATGGATCAGACTAACAGAACCTTGTTCTGACCTCCCACTGATGGAAATCCAGAGTAACTTCCCTGCAGTTATACCATTGTAAATTTGGATCAGAATCAGGCCCAGTGATTTTTTTTTGGGGGGGGGGGGGGGAGAGGGGAGTCAGATTCCTACTTTCATTACTCAAGAAAGGAACCAAATATCTCATGAGTAAAACAGCTGCCTTAAGAACAATTTAAAAGTCATAGATTAACAAAATGGATGTATTAGTCACATACCCCTAATGGAAAGCATTATCTTTGGATTCTTTAAGGGTGCTAAATAATACAGTTACAACACAAGATTTTTTCCCCCCTCTTTATGAACTTGAATTTAAGAAGGTCTTTGCCCACCAACTGGAAAAGGAAAAAATATTAAATCAATTAATTTTTCCTCTTCACTGATTTACATACATTCAACTTGTTTTGATTACTGGACCACCATCACAACCCAAGCCAATTAGCAGTTTGGAAGGACATAAGCGTCCTCATGCTTCAAGACATTATCCAACCTATGATTTAGGAAGAAACTTGCAGATTATTCCATAATTGATATATTCAGGGTTTCTTGCACTTTTTTCTGAAGTGTTTGGTGCTGTCCATTGTGAGAGACAAGATACTGGACCAGATGCACCCTAGGCGTGATCCATTATGGAAATTCCTATGGAACAGCTGGTCATCATAAATGACTTTTTAGGCAGATCTGCCAAACAAGCTATGTCCAGAACTACAAAAAGAAAAAGTGATAGTTTCCAAACATGAACCGAGCAGGAGCTGTTTAGACAACATTTCTTACCGGCGGTTTTCCTTCATCTTGGCATTCTTCAATTTAATTAGGTCTTTCTTGAAAAACTTCCCAAGTTGCTTTAGTTTTTCTTTTCTATCTGAACTAGGTACGAAGAAAATACATTGGGAAGAAAAAAAAAAAAAAAAGCGTGAGACTTAAGAATGCTGAATGCCCACAAAAGTTGCCATATTGGCAGTGCTAGAGATTATCCTCTATTCAGAAAGCAGGGACTGCACCCTAAGAAGCACTTAGGCCCCAGTCCAGCAAAGCACTTAAGCATGTGCTTAACTCACTGGGGACTACTCACATGCTTAGAGTTAAGCTTAAGTGCTTTGCTGGACTGAGGCCTTCAATCTAAATTCCCTCTTGCATTGGTTTTAGTTCACACATGGGATTTTTCAAAGCCAGTTAGTTACTAATGAAAAAAAGAGTCAGTTTCCTCCCCTACCACATTCAGAAATTGAGTGTTTTCGTGGAACTCCAAATCTCGGATAAAAGGAACAGTGCTTTGCTGGGTCCAGTTCCTGGTAGACATTACAGATTGAAGGACAGTCTTGTGGTTAAGGCCCAAGCCTGGGAGTCAAACCACCTCTTTCTTTCCAGGCTCCACCACACATCTCTGTCCTGTATGGCCTTGAGCAAGACAAATTCTCTTTAGGTCTACAAAAGGGGGAATTGTACTTGCTTATGGCACAGTGGTGTTGCAAAACTTATTTCCCATAGTGGATGTATACTGAGGTGTTTAAGAAGAACCAAGATAGAAGGTACTCGATAAGTAAGTACTAAATACAGCGAGCACAATTCCTTGAGCACTGGCTGCACGTTGTACTGGCAGGAAGACTATTTAAAAGGATGGCCTTGTGGTTACGGCACTGAACTAAGACTCAGGATATTGAGTTTCAATGCCCAGCTCTGCTGTAAACTTCTTTGTGCAATCTTGGGCAAGTCAATCTATTTCTCCATTTCCCCATCTGCAACGGGAGGATAAGGAAACTTCATTTCTCCTACTATTTAGTATCTATTTAGACAAGGGACTGGCTGTGCATGTATGGCATTTAGCACAATGGACCACGGTCTTGTTTAAATTAAAGGTGCACCTAGAGGCACCAAAGAGCATTGCTATTCCCCCTCCCTCAATCCTCTAGATTTCAAACTTCCCATATTTTCTCCACACAAAAGATATAAGTTAGGTTTAAACCCAGGTGCAATTACTCCTCACATCCATAAAGGAGCACTATGCACAAGATAAATAACTCCACATTCTGCTGTATAAAAACCAGACATCAGGTGCACCTTTTAAGCAGTTTTGTGGAGCAATGCCTCACCATTTGCTATAGTCAAGGGCTGAGTCAGCTACACTGTGGAAAGGTGTATGAAGTCTCATTCCACACACAGAGTGATCTTACTGAGCTAATGATTGGAAATGCAGTTAGTAAATGTCAGCTAATGTCAAACAACAAAAATCAATATCCCTTCTACAGTTGTAAAACATGTACTTATATCCAATAGCCAACAGGCACAGTACATAGAAGTGCATTCAGCTGCTTGAAGGCATACAAATGGCAACTCACTCCAGTTTGATTGGATTATAATCCCCATTATGAATATCTTCATATATTTCGTCATACTTGTCTTCTGAAACTTAAAAACAAGACAGATGTATTCACAAATCACATTCAATGGTAACAATCTTCAAGGTCTGCTAAACAGAACAGCCAGCTCTGGAACAGGAGAACCACTTAGCACTAAATAGGCTATGGCTACACTGTGAGCTAGCGGTGGGATTCCCAGCTCACGTGTAAATAGTCACACTAGCGCACATCTCAGCTAGCATACTAAACACAGAAGTGTAGCTGCCACAGCACCAGGTAGCTACCAGACTACCAGAACCCTGCTGTCTATGCAAGCTGGGAATCAGACCCCCTAGCTTGTAGCATAAAGTGCAACAAACATTCACAAGAGACTGTTTATTCCCAGATGGAAGCTTGCCACATTGCTGAACGCTCAGCATTGGAGTGGTACTGATCAATAAAAGAATCTAAGAACACTCATTGTATTTATACAGGTTTCAGAGGAACAGCCGTGTTAGTCTGTATTCGCAAAAAGAAAAGGAGGACTTGTGGCACCTTAGAGACTAACCAATTTATTTGAGCGAGCTTTCGTGAGCTACAGCTCACTTCATCAGATGCATACCGTGGAAACTGCAGCAGACTTTATATACACACAGAGAATATGAAACAATACCTCCCCAGCAGGACAGTGGGGTGGGAGGAGGTATTGTTTCATATTCTCTGTGTGTATATAAAGTCTGCTGCAGTTTCCACGGTATGCATCTGATGAAGTGAGCTGTAGCTCACGAAAGCTCATGCTCAAATAAATTGGTTAGTCTCTAAGGTGCCACAAGTCCTCCTTTTCTTTTTGTGTATTTATACATGAGCTAACAGTGGAATGTTCAACACAATGCACACGCCGTTCTTTGTAAACTTGTTTTCTTTTTAAAGTGTTAGTGCCCTAGTGGTTAGAAAATGTATTACAATCAGGTGGCTAAAACTGTGCAGTCTAAGGCTTAAACAAATCTTGCATATGAGCTGCAGGGGTAGATTTATTAAGATATCAAAATTCATCCAATGAATGACATTATTAGGATAATATTTGACTAACATGAGATTGCTGTCACATCACACTAGGAATCCCACTAAGAAAAAATCTATCACACCACCAGAAAAGTGGTAGGTTTAACGATGGTATTTGTGATTTTGTCTCCCAGTAATATGGACGTGACAACTTTAACTACAATTGCTTAAAATGGATACAGACAGGCGCTTACGGGTGAAATTCATTATAGCAGATCCATATGGCCAAGTGAAGCTTCAACAATATATTGGTGGAAAATCCTGTCCCTGGTTCCATGGGCATGGAGGTTTCCACATGGAGAGGAAACCAGTGCAATTCCAGGCTGGGGGAGGAAGAGGAGGAGGAGGAGGAAGAAAGAAAGGAATATGGGCAGGTTTTGGAGAGGCCACTCTCAAAGCACTGCAGAGCTATTTAAGGGTTAGATGCAGGATCACCACCGCTATATAATGCTAAAGTCACAGAGTCTACTCCTGCAGTTAGGCTGCAGTAGCAGCTGCAATGCACAGCTTAGAGGTAAAGGAAGAATTCTTTCCTCATTGTCTTGGCAGAGATCTCAGTGCCCTGCTCACTTTCCTGGGCTGACTGGAAACGTAGCAGAGGACTGGACTGTAGTGTGAGATTCAAGTGCAGCATAGGGCCATATGCAACTCTTTTTTCTGGGGTGAGCTCCACTCCAGGCACAAGAGGCACCCTTTTAAATGGAGGTACGCCTCAACGTAATGAATGATCCCCAAGTTCAAACTTCCCAACTTTGCCATACTTACAGCTATCTGAAGTGAACGAGCTAAAGGCGTCAGAGGCTTGATTCCTGGAAAATGAAGTATCAAGACAGTTTGATATATCAGTTTACTATATTGCAGGTTTTAGAAGACATCTCAAAACCCAGTCGTTAGCATGTACTCACACAGCATGCTTTATATCTTCTACATCATCATACACATCCTCTGATGTCTGCATTGGCTTCAGAATCCTTTGGCTTAAAGCCACCATGTCTTCATCTGCTTTCAGGGCACCCACACACACATAGCGAGCTGAAAATGAAACAGCATCTTGCCTTAGAAGCTCTTCTGATCGCCTACTATCAGGTCAAGGATGATCATCTTTGATGACTCATGTTGGTGTCACAATAAATATGTCAGTTGCAGAGGAAGCCAAACTTCCTTAGATCTAGGAGTTAAGAGGGTCTTTGATTGCTCTAAGCTGCTTTGAAAGAAAAGCAAAAAAAGAGTCTTAAAGACTTATTTTAGAGATTTACCAGTTTGCTCAGTACCTGAAGCCCTCAACTGTGAAATTTTTCAACTGCAAGAACCAAAATAGGATTTTAAAAAAATAAATAAAATAAAATAAGATGAGCATTTACTGAAATAAATGAAGAGATTGAATTGTTAGGATCTTTGGAGTGGTTGATATGGTTTAGAGAGTAAGGATTGATAGATTACTTAAGCCTGGGGAATATACCTGCAAATCACGGTAGAGGATAAAAAAATAAAAAAAAAAGTCTTATTTGTGATTTTAGCTGATGTCTATTACACTGAGAACTAGGACAATTAAGTGCGTGAACTGTTTCAGTTAAGTAAAAAATAGACACCAGCTCAACAGACACTCCTCCAACAATGTTAGGTCTAAGGTTGTGCATTTGACCAGTCCAAAAATTATTGGTAAATTTACAAGTCAAGTATATGTAAGGCTGTACAAAAGTATGGATTTTTTTTCTGGTTCAAAAGTTGCAGCCACCGTTTGTTGAAGCCGAGGTTTTGGTGTGCTCGGTGCACAACCCATTTGAAAAACAAAAACAGGTTGCCTTTATATACTTGCTTTTAAAATAGATTCACCACCCCTGGGTGCTCACCCACCCATACACTTCAGCACCTTCTTCCAAGGCACGCAGCCTGCCTTCTAAGCAGGGCAACAGCTCAGATATGTCCCAATAGCTCTTGAAGGCAAGCGTGACCAAGAGGTAGCCATACAAATTGGAGTACTGTTGCTACCTCACAAATAAGGGGAAACACCCCCACCCCGACGACCCAAATTTGAGTGCTGTTGCTACCTCATTCACCAATTTGTAACCCCCAACCCCGATCACCCGAATTTGGCTCAGCTGCCTCTGTCATGATGGAGAGAAGCTAGGCCATATTTGAGGGAATGGTATTACAACCTGGCACACAAGCTTGCAGTGCCAACACCCCTCAAATTTGTGGCAACTGTTAAAAAAAAACAAAACAAAAAAAACCCCACAACCCAAGAACCACCCTGCGATGTGTGTTCAGAGTTATGGCCCATGATTTTCTTACAGCCTTAAATACTGGTCAAACATTTTAAAGCACTAATTTATTAGAACAAAAAAAAAAAAAAAAAAAAGACTAAGACTTTATGTTCTCCAATAGGCTTAGCCTTCGAGAGATACTTATGCCTAATTTCAAAACAAAAGTTAATACAACTCCAGTTCAGTAACTCAGAAAAATATGAAACAATTAAATGTAGTTATGGGGTTTTTTGGTTTGGTTTTGTTGTAAGAAGACGGGCACCATGATGCAAGTCAAAAGATAGGCTGCCACTGCCATCAGGACGTCCTTGCTAGAATGTATTACATTATTTGATCACTGTCAAATATTAAGTGATCAGTTGACCAGCCTGCCAAGCCTAGTTAGGCCTTGAAGGAAAAAAACAGGTTGGATTAAGAAACTTAAGAGACAGAGCCAAAAGCAACTAGTATTTTTAAATGGATGCCTCCATGCTCAGCTGCCACACCAGAAATATGCAACACTGACATTTCTGCCCATATTATGAATTTCATCATAATGCTTCAGAGCAAAATTAACTTCTCACTTTTGGTCTCTCTGATTTTTCAAAAGCACCTAGCATTGGCCGCACTCTGCTCCCATTTACATCAATGGGAGCAGAGATAGGCCAACCTTGAACAATACTAAAAACTCCACCCAAAATTACCTCCAGCCATTCAAGAGATCCGTCATAATCTACAACTCAATCCTGAACAGTCTCTGTCAATAGCAGCAAAGTTAAGCAGCATGGTTTAAAAATAACATCGCTGTCAGGAATGAATTGAAATAAATTACTTACAGGGAAAGCCAATTTACACTTGGAAGCTACAGAATAAGTTGAAAAAGAAGATGTTCGTTCCCCATTCACTACAAACTAAAGTAAGTGGAGTGCGTCTGGCAACTGTATAGCTTAAGATGATAACAGAAGCCCAAACAACGTACTAGCACTTTGGGTCTGCACCATAATGAAGAAAATAGGGGCTCATTCGTTAAATTTTGTAGTCTCATTAGAACTAATCATGCCAGCAAAGGGTGGGGGGGGGGGGTGGAAATTGGCAAATGAAAAACAAACAAAAAAAATAATTTGTATATGTGGTCAATTGAAGCTATTTGGCCTAAGTTTGTGATGAATTTGCCAAATAAATAGTTTCAACCAAAAAAAGCTTACCCTAGATTCACAAGGGGACTTTGGTGCCATTCGCAAAACCCAGAGGAGGTGGTAGTAATGAAGCCATCCCCCTTACGCCCAGTAACCTTGTGGTTTGGGCGCTCACCCGGGATGTGGGAGACCCATATTTGAATCCATGCTCTGGAGTAGGATCTTGAACTCAGCTCTTCTGCCTTCCAGCCGAGTGCCCTAACCAACAGCCTATAGCATCATTCTTACTCTCTTCCCCAATGACTATTCAAGGACTCTGGACAAAGTAGGACGGCTTCAACACGACAGACAGACAGAGTCCCACCTCAGAACATCCTTGTGTGATGCTTAGGCCACTTACCTGGTACGTTGGAGACCTGACTTCAAGTGCCAGCTCCAGAGTGGGGATTCAAACCCAGGTTTCCATATCCCAGGTTAGTGCCCTGGTCACTCCATAGAAAGGGGACACCACCAGTTCCAGTTTTGACAGTCTAGCCCTTCATTTCCTTCGCTTTTAAGTTAATGCCCAACATAAAAATGCATGGTTTGATATGAAATTTTTCTCTGCTTACTTTTAATTCACTGAAAATGTTTGGTTTTCGTTCAACTCACCAAAACTTCCAGAGAGCTGAAAAATCAGTTATTTGCACAACTCTGTTCAACACTCCCAAGTCAGGACAATCTAATTTGAACAGATAGTCTTAAACTAAAGAAGTATTAGTGTCCATGCAGCATTCTATGCTACTGTAACTTAACTGGTTTAAAATTACACGGTAAGTTAGACCAGTGTGACTTTCTCATGCAGACAAGGCCTGAAATATTTTAGGTAATAAAAAAAAAAGTGAACAGAAGTTTGAAGAAAGAGTACAATAAAACAAAGACAATGTGATACTCACAATGTTCTACTCCATCTTTTGCCAGCCATTTCCCAGTTTGGATGATATCAGTTGTATCTCCCTGCTTAGCCTGTAGCTTGTTCTTCCTACCTTCATTGCCTTGATGTATTTGTGATTTATGTAGCATGTCCTCACCACCACTAATCTAATGAGAGAAATGTAGATGTGGTTAGTGCAGTGCTTGAATCAGATTCATAATTTACAAGCAACATGAAAAAACATAGCTCAACTAGTAACCCACTATATAGAACAGAGGTATAATAGATTATATGCAACTCAGAAACAGAAATAGTATCGGTCATATTACTAAACATTTATCATCACTGAAGGGAGAAAACAAAGGATTTAAAATTCCATCATCTATCCTCATTTGGGAGACTAAAGACTGCTTCCAATCCCTGGGCCAAGAGTTAGTTTCACTGTGCTTTAAAAACAAAACTGCATCATACCCTAGTCCCTCATTGTCCACCCCAACACTGCACCTAAATATATAAGGGGCACCTCAATGACATATTACCTTGGATGCTTTATTCATTTGCTGTTGCCTCTCTCTACCAAGATCCCATTTCAATTTTTCCTTTTTTTCATCCTCTGTGACTCTTTCAGTGCTGAAATATTAGAAGATACTTACACAAGCCCAGGCTAAGATAGATGTGTTACTACATAGCATCTCCCCCCTACTCTACTTGTTAGGAGAGAGATGAGGCTGTATTGTGTAGACAGTACTATATTCCATAATGCCAGCGCTAAAATCTGAGTCAGCTCCAACATGCAGACAGAGCAGATGGTAACCCAGAGCAATAATTTTCAAAGCACTATTCACAATTTGAATGACAGCAAGCCAGGAGGAATGGACTCTTTGATAATGGACAGCCCATAGACTAGATCCATTGCGGACAATCTCGCCTGGGTGGTTTCATGTGGCTGACCCTGGTCCAGCTTTACAGAAAAAAGTCTTGCCAACTAAAAAAAAAAAGTACGGGTTGATGAGAGAAAGATGAGGCAGTCCATAGCCAGTGACCTTCTGGGTTATCAAGACCACAACTCCTATCACCTGTCCCATATTTATCTAGTCAGCTTGACTGGTTCACTTTATGTTTAATTCCCAGCACTATATCAGACATATATGAGGATGGGTGAACCAATTCTGACATGTGTTTCTGTTTCAGTGTCCCTCACACACTCCGATTTGGCACAGCTCAGCTCTCCCTTATACAGTCTCCGTCTCCCTCTTTGGTTCCTGACTCCATCAGAACTCTCCAGGACTACACCATCCCTTCCACATTCTCCTCTACAGTTGCCCTCCCATCCTACTACATAATCCCAAAGCCCACTTTCATGTATGTTTACTTGTGAAATCATTTTGGTGTCCCTCTGAACACCCAAGCCACTTTGGTGATGCAACGTCTCTCCTCATTCTATTCCCAAATTGCTTTTTTCCCCTCAGGCACACACTTAACAAAAATAATCCAATTTATCACATGCTACGGCAATCTCCATTAAAGCAAGCAGGTTACCAAGCTACAATAAATTACATTTACTACAGCATTTGAAGTATTTATTTTTACTCTTACAATAATCCAGGGTGAACTTCAAAGTTGCCTTTTTCCTTCATCACATCTAGTTGAAGAGCTGGACAAATAATTCTTAAGTAGAGCCGGTTGGAATATTTTCAATTAAATGAAATTGAAATGTTTTGTGGAGACATCAGTTTGGATGAAAAGTTCATTTCAAGTGGTTTTGGATCTGGGTTCAGGGCTCTCTGGTGACTTCTAGAGAGTGATGGGAGACTTCCTAAGGTGCCTGACTGAGAGCAGAGTTTTGTCATCCCAGATCACACACTTGAACCTGGGTCTCCTAGGCTAGAGTGTCAGTCTCTTTCCCGTTCCCACATTAAAAAGTTCACGTTTCCCGGGAGAGAGGAAAAGGACATTTTGACAATTCAGCTTTTTGCAAAATCGTTTGAGAGGTTTTGCTTTTGTTCCACTGCAAAACAAAAATGAAGTTTGAAACCTTGAACGCTGCCAGAAAATGCAATTGTATTCACAAGTGTGTTTGTGGAATTTCACTGTATTTCTCAAATAAAATATTCTGTGAATACCTTACAGGTTATTTACCCAGCTCTATTACAGAGTTAAAAAGGTAATTTGCCTTTGCTAAACCTGTTTAGAGGAGCAGAAATAAAAAGTGATTCAAATAAATGAAGAAGTTACCTGGATGAGGCAAACAGAAAAGTTTTCTGCTTCTATTGAAAAAGAAAGTAAAACACCTTCACTTATTATGCCTTGTTCGGCAAGAAGTCAAGCTTTACACAATGCCACTCAATATTTGATATTTTAAAGTGTTTCTCTGTACAAGCAACATTAACCCACGTAGTAGCCTGCATTTAAACATGAGTTTTATGATTAGCATAAAAGCAGGATCTTTCCCTTCTTTTCTAGCATAAAAGCAGTTTCTGAAAAAGATGTGCACATTGACCTGAGTAACAAAAGAAAGAAAGAAAGAAAGAAAGAAAAGAGTCAATGAAATTACTCATGGGAGTAAAGTCAAGCATGTGCTGAGGTGCTTGCAAGATTGGGCCTAATCTTTTAAATATTCGTTTTGTTTCACAAAATATTTCTAAATACAATTTGCTTTTTTGACCATTAGAAATAAAGAAAGCCAAAACTCCTCCTCTACTGCATTATAGATAAGCCACTTGAGAGTTAAAAAAAAAAAAGTGCTTATTTGCTTTATTGAGTGAGGTCCAGTTTCAAATTTTAGCTCTGAACTGAAAAGTGATCAATGTGTCCAGGAAATATCCTCATGTTTCAAGTCTTTTGCCCTCTTGGAATCTGATTTAAGAATTTCAGAGGCGATGGCCCCATCTGATTTCCCTTCATGTGTGACAGAACCAGAAGTCACACCCTTAAGGTATATTTTCTGACACCAGTTCAATTATTTTCTTCCATACCCATCAGACGCTGGCTAAATATGTCGCTGTGGCGAGGAAGCATGAACACAGTTTTTGCCATCAAGCCTTTGAGTAGAGAATTACCAGCACATTCCTATCTTTGACAGAGGTTTACACAGGCATCTCCTTTATGGAATTTTAAAGCTCTCAGAGACTTACTCAAGACCTGTTTGATATAAAACACGCTGTAAATTTAGATTGTATCACTATTTCTTTAAACATCAGAAGCGTGAGGCTAGGGTTTTCAAAGAGAGCTAAGGAAATTGGTTCCATAGATCCCACAGGATGGGTACATAAGTCTCCAGAGCCCCCACAGAACAGCCCATTATGTGAAGGATACAATAGTCACAAGTTTCCAAGGCATCAAAACATAGCATCAGCATGTCTTATAGATTTATCTATAATGTCAGGTGAGGGTTGCAGAAGATGACCTACCTTTTCATGTTCTCGGATTCCCGTGCTCGATACTAGAATAAAGATTTATAAACAATTACTGCATTTTAGCATGTTCTGGAGATACAATCTTCCACAGTTTCACAGGCTGTAGTTCAGTGGCATTAAAAAGGGAACTGTGGCTATAAAGAAGACTGGCCCACATATTCAGCCAAGGGTACTCTAGGCTACATGGGGGAAAACACCCACTTTTGCAGGGCCCAATGGTCAGTTCCCTGAATGAGGACTGGTTCACACGCTGTCAGCTTAATCTTTTCACGCCCCTTGGATCAAGTACAAGAATTGGCCTGTCCCAAACACAACCCTGAGCAAATAAGTTGTATTCGGTCAAGGAGAAACAGGGAGGAAGAGCCACCAGGAAGGGGAACAAGGAAAAAAAATAAAAGCACAAAAATAAACTTGACAGAACAAACAAGGCAAAGGCGGCGGGGGAAGAGGGTAATGAAGGTGGCATAAGTCATAAGGGGATGGAAGAGTTCCATGCATTGGAAGTAGCACCTCCGCCCCCACCCCCACCCCAAAAAAAAACCACACAAGCAAAACAAAAAGGAGGCTAAAGTCTGCCAAGTTAACGTCTCCTCCTTTGCGCCCTCCTCGACAGTCAAGTGACTTTTTCCATTGCCGTTCTACTTCAGCCCCCTCCCCCCCATCGTGATCCTATAACTCCACACACATTTTCAGTCTCACACACGCGTCTGTTTCCTTCTAGTGGCAAAGAGGAGAGGTGAAGTTAGGCTGTAAAGCAGGAATATTCCCCTTTAGTCACAAACGGGGCATTTTTGTGAAAAAGGGTAACTCAGACATGCAACAGAGCTTCTAACAGATTAGGAGGAACAATGCCATTTCTTTAAAAAGTAGTTACACCCCACATACTATACCTATATTAATTGGCTTAACAGACTCACAGTCAGCAATATCCTGAATGGCACACGAGGTTAGAGAGTTCCCAGATTGTTTCACATATGACATGGTTTCTTCATAATTATGTACTTCTTCAGATTCAGCACTAGGGAATGATGAGAGGAAGGGGTGGGGTGGGAGAGTTTTTTTGAAAAACCCTACACAATAAAGTAATGGATCTTGAAGAACTTTGGCATACAATCTATGAGAAATGAATTATTACTGGAATTTCTATCTTAATTAAGAGGCCTGCACTAAGATGCACACCGTCTCATGCTACATCTACTCTAGAAGTCATCCATAGGAGAACTTCAGTTGAAATTCACCTTGCCCACATAAAGCCCAAGTTACTGGGCTTTGTGTAGACACAAACCTCCACATATACCCCCATCCCACAACCTGAGTCCAGAACAAAAGGCAGCAGCCATACCTCCCTTAGTGATCAACATTCACTGCACTTGAAGTGAGCTTATGGCCACTTTGCATCACCAAAACCTCTAGACCGAAGCACTAGTGTGCTCTGGAAATTATTCATGACAATCCCCAGTGTATCATTGGGATGAGCCTACAACACGCTACTAGGTTGCTTGTGTGCAGAGTCCACTCCCTGTCATGCTGACCAACAGTATCCCATTGTTTCCTGATACTCCCTCATGGGTCTTTTGTCTTTTATTTAGATTGTAATCTGTTTGTGGCAGGGACTGTCCTTTTGTTTTGCCTTTGTACAGCACCGAGCACAACAGGATTTTGGTCTAGGGCTCCTCTGGACTAGGAGAATACAAATACATAACAACCACCACAGGAACAGCAGAGACTTTTGCACTTCAGCATGCAGATTGCTTCTTTGAAGCATGATTAGTTTGTTCAGGTTGCTACGTACTGATAATTTTCAGCAGGGTGCAGGGGTGGGGGTTGGGGCCCACTCTGGTGCAGAAGTTTCAGCTCCACCACTGAAATTGAATAGAAGCATTGAACCATAGACATTTTTCCTTTGGATGCAGGGAGTGGAGAAACCCACACAGCTTGAAGTCCAGTTCTAGCAAACTCTCAACCAGTATAAGTGGGAGAGGCTTTGTTGAGAGCACACAGAAAACAGAGGAAGTTTCCTTTTCTGATTTCTGCAAATCAATGCAATTTTCTAGCAAGGTTTTGCACTTGGCATTTTAAAAAGGCCAGAACTGGATAGCTATAGGAGCGTGCACATTGAATGTGAAATAGTGATGTAAGAACATTAGAAAACTTTTTTCTTTTATTAAAAGCCAACTGACAAGATCCCTTAACACAAGTTTATCAGAAAACCGTTTCTGGAACCCCTAAGATGTCACTATACTGTTATTAAACTTAGTAGGAACAGAGTAAAGATTACGTTTTCCTACTAAGCAGTTAAGCGGGAGGGGAAGGAAATCAGAGGGTAAGAAAAGAAACAAAACATTAAAATACTGAAGTCAGTGCTTGAGGTAAAACTATTAAAAAATAAGTCTGTGCCACTGTTGAACAAAATTTCCCCATCACACCCTGTTCATTTTATTAGCGGATCTACCAGAAATCAAGCCAAACTTGGCAGTATGTAGCTTTCATATGCAGATTGCTCAGTCACTTCATGCATTCATTTCTAATGACCCTATCACTGTGCTACACTCTAGGGATTAAATTACAGCATGGGGAGGAGAGAAGCTCCCTGTGAATGGGTGTGGAGAGCTACTGAGATGGGGTGGGAAGGAAGCAAGTGCACTTTGCATACCTCCCTCCCCCAACACCCTGCCCCCACCCTGGTACCAGAGCTCTATCCCATCACCCACATCGGTGGCTGGTGCCCTGTGCGCTCCCTCTAGCCTCTGCCCAGGTGCTATTGTCCTGTGCTGTCTCCCACGCTTCCCTGGCAGCTGGTTGGCATGCACCTGCTCCTCTCCCAGGCTGGGTGTCTCCACGGGAGCCTGTGGTGGCTGGAACGCAGGACTGTGAGTCATACCTGCTCCCTAATGGCCAGCCGGATCCCACATACTGCAACTGAGGTTGCCAGTTTTGGTTGGACGTATTCCTGGAGGTTTCATCACAGGACAATCTTTAATTTCTGGAGACTCCAGGACAAATCTTGGAGGGTTGGCAGCCCTAACTGCAGCAGCTGCTCTATCCCTTCCTCCAGGCCCCACTCTTGTCTCTGCCCCCCTTCTGTATGCACACAGGGTGGAGCGTAGTCATGTCCTGCTCTTATCTCCAGGAAATATTGTGGAGGCAGAAACAGATTCCTACCCATCTCCCCCAAACATGTCCATTTCAAGAGCTCTAGCCACCCTGTGCTTCCCCCCAGCATCATGCAGGATTTCAGCTGCTGCCCCAATGAATGTCTGGCACAGTGAAATTCACCGTGGTGGACAGGGCTGTGCTAGACCCACTGTGATAAACAGAGCTGTTACTGTATTCACACATGATTATGTAAGTTGATCAGTTAGTGAACTGGTGACTATAGAACGTTCAATCTACAGGGCTGGTGGAAAATGCAAGCAAGCAGCAAAACAATTGCTTGAGAAGAGCCCAGGATCCTGATAAACACTTCAGGACCATTCAGAGATGATGCTCGAGCTATTAGCTGTGAGGATTCTACTCCTGGGGCCCAGCCAAGTTTGAAAACTTGTTTTGCCATATAGGGACCCTGAGAAGACACAGGATCTCTGGCTGGATAAAAATTGATTCCCCCGGCCCCCCACATGCAAAGGTAGTAGCTGTTGGGGGGATGTTGTTGGTGAGGTGTTCAGGCTGACAGAAGTATCTAATCCTGCCTGGGCCACCATTACTGATAATTGGGCTTTCGAGGAGCTAAACATGTATAGACTGCTTCTTGTTTTAAAGTTCTCCTCTGTTTTATTCTATTGTTAAGATTAAATAGCCTGTTAAAACCAAAGTATCTGAAGACAGACTCCTGAAGGGAGGAACCACAGGCACTTAATCCAGAGAGGGACGTGCTGGATAAACACAATGCATATACAGGATACTGTAGCCCAGCGTCCAGTCTCGAAATAGTAGAATCACATGATTCCCTTTCCGAAGAGAGGGGAAGTGCATTCAGAGAAGGGACAGATGCAAGCAGCCCTGTAACCACTGCACCTTCACAAATCCACATCCCTAAATGATCATGGTAGGGCCAGGGAACTCATGTGACTTGGTCTACTGATGAGCATAGTTTTGGTTGTGCAAAGCGTCCATGATCTCATTTCAATTTATCATGGGGGCAGGGTGAATTGCAACTCAAGTTGGATAATTTCACTGTTAAATATTAAACAGCCTACTATCTGTATCATATTAGGAGTTCAAAGTAACTAATCTTTGCTGCAATATATTACTTGAACAGTTTAATTTCTAAACAAGAATTATATTGCTAATATACAGTGGAACACGTGGAAAAATAAGTCTCTTCCTGCTTGGCATATACAAGGAAACTTGGTTAATTTATAAACTGATTGCCTCAGTAACATTTAGAATGTGTGTGGTATTTATTGTAATGGATTGAAAACTACAATTACACGCATTAACTTCCCCACTGTGTTATTTAAAATACATGAATTTTCAATTCAGCCATTGTATTCCCTTTGTTTAGTCAAACATGAATAGTCATGAGTAAAAGGTGCTTGCCCATATCAATGTTTGCACCCACAGCGAAATAGATATTTATCCATATATGGTATTTGGTTTTTCACACCAGAGTTGTTCACTCCTTGCCACTACAGTTCCAGTTTTCCAGAAATGCAGCCAAATTACCACGACTTTCTTGTTTATGATGTGATTGATCAACTAAAACAAACCATCAAATAAATGCTGAACCACCAATAGATGTAAGTGTATTTGCATAAGGCTTTTGCAGAGTTGCAAACAGCCAAATCAAAATGTGCACTTTCCACTGGGGTCTGGTTGGGGGTGGGGGGCGAGGAGGGGAGAGTATGATTCTATAATTAGATGCTAATCCTAATAAATTTGCACTCCGTGTGCACATGTAAGGTTCAACAGGCAACCTTAAAAATCACAGAATATCAGGGTTGGAAGGGACCTCAGGAGGTCATCTAGTCCAACCCCCTGCTCAAAGCAGGACCAATCCCCAACTAAATCATCCCAGCCAGGGCTTTGTCAAGCCTGACCTTAAACTTCTAGGGAAGGAGATTCCACCACCTCCCTAGGTAACGCATTCCAGTGTTTTGCTACCCTCCTAGTGAAAAAGTTTTTCCTAATATCCAACCTAAATCTCCCCCACTGCAACTTGAGACCAGTACTCCTTGTTCTGTCATCTGCTACCACTGAGAACAGTCTAGAGCCATCCTCTTTGGAACCCCCTTTCAGGTAGTTGAAAACAGCTATCAAATCCCCCCTCATTCTTCTCTTCTGCAGACTAAACAATCCCAGTTCCCTCAGCCTCTCCTCATAAGTCATGTGTTCCAGTCCCCTAATCATTTTTGTTGCCCTCCGCTGGACTCCTTCCAAATTTTTCCACATCCTTCTTGTAGTGTGGGGCCCCAAAACTGGACACAGTACTACAGATGAGGCTTCACCAATGTCGAATAGAGGGGGAACGATCACGTCCCTCGATCTGCTGGCAATGCCCCTACATATACATCCCAAAATGCCATTGCCAAGAAGGCCAATGAGGGCACCCTGTTGACTCATATCCAGCTTCTCGTCCACTGTAACCCCTAGGTCCTTTTCTGCAGAACTGCTGCCTAGCCGCTCGGTCCCTAGTCTGTAGCGGTGCATGGGATTCTTCCATCCTAAGTGCAGGACTCTGTACTTGTCCTTGTTGAACCTCATCAGATTTCTTTTGGCCCAATCCTCTAATTTGTCTAGGGCCCTCTGTATCCTATCCCTATCCTCCAGCGTATCTACCTCTCCTCCCAGTTTAGTGTCATCTGCAGACTTGCTGAGAGTGCAATCCACACCATCCTCCAGATCATTAATGAAGATATTGAACAAAACCGGCCCGAGGACTGACCCTTGGGGCACTCCACTTGATACCGGCTGCCAACTAGACATGGAGCCATTGATCACTACCCCCTTGAGCCTGACAATCTAACCAACTTTCTATCCACCTTACAGTCCATTCATCCAGCCCATACTTCTTTAACTGGCTGGCAAGAATACTGTGGGAGACTGTGTCAAAAGCTTTGTTAAAGTCAAGGAACAACACATCCACCGCTTTCCCCTCATCCACAGGGACAGTTATCTCGTCATAGAAGGCAATTAGATTAGTCAGGCATGACTTGCCCTTGGTGAATCCATGCTGACTGTTGCTGATCACTTTCCTCTCCTCCAAGTGCTTCAGAATGGATTCCTTGAGGACCTGCTCCATGGATTTTTCCAGGGACTGAGGTGAGGCTGACTGGCCTGTAGTTCCCAGGATCCTCCTTCTTCCCTTTTTTAAAGATGGGCACTACATTAGCCTTTTTGCAGTCGTCCAGGACCTCCCCCGATCGCCATGAGTTTTCAAAGATAATGGCCAATGGCTCTGCAATCACATCCGCCAACTCCTTTAGCACTCTCGGATGCAGCGCATCTGGCCCCATGGACTTGTGCTCCTCCAGCTTTTGTAAATAGTCCCGAACCACTTCTTTCTCCACAGAGGGCTGGTCACCTCCTCCCCATGCTGTGCTGCTCAGTGCAGTAGTCTGGGAGCTGACCTTGTTCGTGAAGACAGAGGCAAAAAAGCATTGAGTACATTAGCTTTTTCCACATCCTCTGTCACTAGGTTGCCTCCCTCATTCAGTAAGGGGCCCACGCTTTCCTTGACTTTCTTCTTGTTGCTAACATACCTGAAGAAACCCTTCTTGCTGCTCTTAACATCTCTTGCCAGCTGCAACTCCAGGTGTTATTTGGCCTTCCTGATTTCACTCCTGCATGCCCGAGCAATATTTTTATACTCTTCCCTGGTCATTTGTCCAATCTTCCACTTCTTATAAGCTTCCTTTTTGTGTTTAAGATCAGCAAGGATTTCACTGTTAAGCCAAGCTGGTCATCTGCCATATTTACTATTCTTTGTACACATCGGGATGGTTTGTCCCTGTAACCTCAATAAGGATTCTTTAAAATACAGCCAGCTCTCCTGGACTCCTTTTCCCCTCATGTTATTCTCCCAGGGGATCCTGCCCATCAGTTCCCTGAGGGAGTCAAAGTCTGCTTTTCTGAAGTCCAGGGTCCGTATTCTGCTGCTCTCCTTTCTTCCCTGTGTCAGCATCCTGAACTCGACTATCTCATGGTCACTGCCTCCCAGGTTCCCATCCACTTTTGCTTCCCCTACTAATTCTTCCTGGTTTGTGAGCCGCAGGTCAAGAAGAGCTCTGCCCCTAGTTGGTTCCTCCAGCACTTGCACCAGGAAATTGTCCCCTATGCTTTCCAAAAACTTCCTGGATTGTCTGTGCACTGCTGTATTGCTCTCCCAGCAGATATCAGGGTGATTAAAGTCTCCCCATGAGAACCAGGGCCTGCGATCTAGTAACTTCTGTGAGTTGCCAGAAGAAAGCCTCGTCCACCTCATCCCCCTGGTCCAATGGTCTATAGCGGACTCCCACCACGACATTACCCTTGGTACTCACACTTCTAAACTTAATCCAGAAACACAGGTTTTTCTGCAGTTTCATACCAGAGCTCTGAGCAGTCATACTGCTCTCTTACAAACAATGCAACTCCCCCACCTTTTCTGCCCTGCCTGTCCTTCTTGAACAGTTTATATCCATCCATGACAGTATTCCAGTCATGTGAGTTATCCCACCAAGTCTCTGTTATTCCAATCTCATCATAATTCCTTGACTGTGCCAGGACTTCCAGTTCTCCCTGCTTGTTTCCCAGGCTTCTTGCATTTGTGTATAGGTACGTGAGATAACTCGCGGATCATTCCTCTTTCTCAGTCTGAGGCAGGAGGCCTGCTCGCTCGCGTGCTCCTGCTCCCTCCCAGTATCCCACTTCCCCACCTACCTCAGGGCTTTGGTCTCCTTCCCGGTGAACCTAGTTTAAAGCCCTCCTCACTAGGTTAGCCAGCCTGCTTGCTAAGATGCTCTTCCCTCTGTTTGTTAGAGCCCATCTCTGCCTAGCACTCCTCCTTCTTGGAACACCATCCCATGGTCAAAGAATCCAAAGCCTTCTCTCCGACACCACCTGCATAGCCATTCGTTGACTTCCACGATTCGACGGTCTCTACCCAGGCCTTTTCCTTCCAAGGGGAGGACGGATGAGAAGACCATTTGCACCTCAAACTCTTTTATCCTTCTTCCCAGAGCCACGTAGTCTGCAGTGATCCGCTCAAGGTCATTCTTGGCAGTATCATTGGTGCCCACGTGGAGAAGCAGGAAGGGGTAGCGATCTGAGGGCTTGATGAGTCTTGGCAGTCTCTGTCACATCGTAGGAAATCTGGCATTGCGTACCTTTTCAGTGCTTAGTTTTGCAATCTTCATGTATTTAAAATAAGCAAACTGGAAAAAAAAATTCCATCACATGGAAACATTAACATCCACATGGGCCATCAGCAGGGTTGGAACCTTTAGGTCTACCACACAGACTGCTGCCACTTGAGCTAACTGTCTAATGGAGAGCAGTAGTAAGTCATCATCCTCTAGGAGGGGGAGGAACTAGCAGAGATAAGACACTTTGCCAGCTGGTTTCAGAGATATTTCCTGGCAGGAATGTTGAGACTCAGGAATCTTGGGTTCCTTTCCAGGTTCTGAAGGAGAATGTGCCCCTTTTGCCCTTCCCCATCTACCTATCCACTCCAAGATGGATTCCTTCTGCCCAGCCCAATCTCTTCCCTCCCCAGTCCCCATGGCTCTTCATCAGAGTCCCCTTGTACAGCCAGACTTTCTGGACCGATTCAAGGCCTTGCCTACACTCCAAAAAAGTCCTGGTTTAGCATTTGGTGTAGTTGCACAGATGCTGACCCTTTGAAGCAGGTATTAACCTTGAAAGAATCAACTGATGCAAACCTCAGCTTCTATTGACAACACTTATGGAGTCATCATCAGTATGGAGATTCCAAATGTCAAATTAAGACTATTAATGTGGACACTTGGCCTTAGATTCTCTATTTTTATTTAAGTCTTTGGGCACAGTTCTGCAAGGTACTTAGAACACATGCTTAAACTTTAAGCATACAAGTACCTAGGAATCAGTGTACTGCTCTGGGTTCAAAGAGGTACCTATGAGGTGGCCAGTGTAGAACACGAGCAATACAAATCCCATTCCAAAGATCACACAAGCATAAACAAAAAATACCAAGAGCAGAGAGCAAAATCTCATTTTAGGGCTGTGCTTTCTGCATAAACAGAACGAAAGATCAAAATCCTTTTCTGCGGACAGATAAGGAGAACAGTAAACCTCCAGCACCTGCAGATTATGCCAGGTCTGTGTTTCGGCAATAATTCTCAAAGCATTTCATTTCTAAAACATCAAGCTGGAGAATATGGGAAATGAGGGGGGTGGGAGGAGATCACCACACCCATGTGTGTGGGTAACAATCTGCTTTGAAACCAGAAGACAGCTTGTCAGAAAGCATGTCATGTAGTGTTTACTGCAGGCTAAACAAAGGAGCACTAGCAAGAACCAGCTAGATACACACACACACCTCTAGCCTTTCAATAATGTTCATAGTAAACAGAGGACAGGAGATGAGAACAAGGTCTCCTGGTCTAAGCATTATTTTTTTTAAGACTTCTTTTCTGCAAGGTCGGTTCACAAGCCACCTATGAACCTAGCTCTCCCAGGTTCAAATGTCTCCATTTACCACCTCATGACATTCTAAAGACTTTGGGGAATTTTGTAATTTCCTTTCCTCTATTGTTGTAAAGTTTATAGCTTGTGTAAGCTTTAAGTTCTTATTGTATGTGTATCAGGACCTTGCGTAAGTATAAGAGGGTAATTTGGTTGCTAGTCATTCATATCTTAGGGCAGGCCTACACTACAGCAAGGAATCCATACTCTGAGATCGATCCAGCAGGTCTAGTAAAAACCCAAAAATCAACTGTAGATCACTCTCCAGTTGACCCCTGTACTCTACCCCCAACAAGAACTCTACTCCCATTGACCCCCCTGGTGTAGGCCCCACAGTAACTTGACCTAAGGTACGTAGACTCCAGCTACGTTATTCACATAGCTGGAGTTGCATAGCGTAGGTTGACTTACCATGGTTGTGTAGACATAACCTTTGACTCAGCAAATATCTGACACTCTCATTGGTGGCCTATGGTGGTACTTTTCAGACATATGTGTGTCTGCAAGGAACACCAACTCAATTCACACTGGCAGCAAGGAAAGCCTACTCACTCAAAGACCTGTCCAGGCTATATTCAAAACAGATTATCTAGCGAGAAGGAACTCCCATTATTAATTCCCTCAGCCACCCAGGTCTTCTTGAATAGGAGTTATACCAGTCAGACACGTAATTTAGTGAATCCCCACACATTATACAGAGTGCTTGCTTCAGGAGGATTCTTTCAGTGTCATTTAAATGCAAAAATTGTGCATAATGGAATTATAAAAGTAGCACTTTATTGCTTACAAGTATGTCCCATCTTCAGAAGAGCTTAAAATTCTGACAGGAACTATTGTTTGTTTTAGTGTAAATATATGTTTCTGTAGCCTAAAGTTAAATCCACACACTTACTTTTCAGGAGTCACGTAGTCATCTTCTACAACAGCTGCAAACAAAAACAACAAGTTTGACAAGTGGCAAACAAAATATGGTTGCTACGGCATTCAACACGAGACTACAGTGGAACAAGAGAATGGGCTGAGGAGCACAGTAGTCAGCGTGACAGAGGACCATGTGGCAAAGAAGGGTATTGACACAAGTTTCCAGGTGTAAACATTAAAATTAAGATCTTTTGTCTGTATACCTCTTCCTATGCGCAGTTATTCCGTTTCCCTGGAAAAAGAGGCACTAGTACAGTAATAGGGGATTTGATCATTCGAAATATAGCTAATTGAGTTTGTGATGACCAGGAGAACATGGTGAATTGCCTGCAGGGTGCGAAGGTTGTGGACCTCTCCAAACATCGAGATAGATTTATGGGCTGTGCTGGGGAGGAGCCAGTGGTCGTGGTAGATGTAGGTACCAATGACATACAGAAAGGTAGGAGTGAGGTCCTGGAGGGCAAATTTAGGCTACTAGGAAAGAGATTAAAGTTCAGGACTTCTGGAAGCATTTCAGAGAATGCTATCATGGTTCCACAAAGGGGCAGTTAGACAGGCAGAACTGCAGGCAGGGCCGGCTCTAGGCACCAGCAAAGCAAGCACGTGCTTGGGGTGGCACAATTCCAGGGGTGGCATTCCGGCCACCCTTTTTGTTTTTGGGTGGGGGGGGAGGGAAGGAGGAAGTTGTTTTGCGTGGGCAGTTATGCTCTTGGAGCAGCAAATTTTTTGCTTGGGGTGGCAAAAAACAAAAAAACAAACAACCTAGAGCCGGCCCTGACTGCAGAGTCTCAATGTGTGGATGAGAAAATGGTGTTCGGAATTTAGGTTTATTAGGAACCGAGGAACCTTTTGGCGAAAGAGGATCCTATACAAGAAGGATGGGCTTCACCTAAACCAAAACCGAACCAGATTGCAGTCATGTAAAATGTAAGAGTCATAGAGGAGTCTTTAAACTAACAGCTGAGGGAAAGCTGACAGATGCAGAGGACCACATGGTTCAGACAGACATCCTTAGAGGAGGCTTCATTAAAGGGGATACTCTATAGCCTAGTAAAGAGGAGAGGAAAAAGTTGATAAAGTACAGATAGGGTCTTAGAAGCTGCCCCACCACCTATTGACTCAGTAGCCTCCAAGACCTTACCCACTCCGTTCCCAAGAACTCAGACTTCAAAACATGTCACTGAAATTTCTTTGTTTGCATACAATTAAACTACACTTGAGTTGACCAGGCTGAAGCACAGGGGATGGGTACAGGGCATACCAAATATCCAAAAGTTACACAGCAAACCTCTTCCTTTATATACATTTATGGATTGGCTTGGTCACTGTGCTCTGTACAAGCATGGACTTATTTTCCCCCCTCTTATGTTCCAGGCTTATTTACCCACTGTAAATGGTTCCTCAAGTGTTCCCCCTCCCCACCCCATCTTAGTACAGACATTCTGTTTCTAGCTTACTAGTTCGTTTACCTCCCTAATCCTATCTCCCAAGAAACGAGGCCTCACCCACCTCCAATTACTCAGATCAAGCCAGGCCTATAGTTGAGACTGAAAAGAAACGAGTCAAATGAAAAAGAATCCCATTCAATTACATCACATAAAGGCAGACAACTAAATATTGACCAATTTTATAAGTGATTGCATACAAACACATGAAGTCTAAATATTAAGATGGGGAACTTGAATACCTGGTATTAAATGAGGATTTTGATGCAACAGGCATCACAGAAACTTGATGGAACAAATGATAATCAGTGGCACACAGTAATCCCAGGCTACAATATATATGGAAATGGCAGAGTAGGTTGGAGAGTGGCCCTATACGTGAAAGAAAGCAGTCAACTATAGTGAAAATCTTATATGAATCAAACTGTACCATAGACTCTTTATGGATAGAAACTCCATTCTTAAACAAGAGGATAGTGGTAGGAATATACACTTCCGACCACCTGACCAGGACAGGGATTTTGAAATGCTCAAGGAGATTTTAGAAAGGCTACAAAAAACAGGAAACCCAATAATGGGGGATTTCAACTATCCCCATATAGAGTCAACATGGCATTTGTAAAAGGAAATCCTGCCTCACCAACCTATTAGAGTTCTTTGAGGGTGTCAAACATGTAGATAAGGGTGATCTAGTGTACTTGGACTTTCAGAAAGCCTTTGACAAGGTCCCTCACCAAAAGGTGCTTAAGCAGTCACAGGATAAGAGGGAAGGTCTTCTCATGGATCAGTAACTGGTTAAAAGATAGGAAACAAAGGGTATCAATAAACAGTTTTCACAATAGAGAGGTAAATAGCAGCAGTTCCACAAGGATCTATATGGAACCAGTGCTGTTCAACATTCATAAATGATCTGGAAAAAGGGGGTAAACAGTGAGGTGACAAAATCTGCAGACGATACAAAACTAATCAAGCTAGTTAAGTCCAAAGCAGACTGCAAAGAGTTACAGAGGCATCTCACTAAACTGGATGACTGGGTAAGAAAATGGCAGATGAAAGTCAATGTTGATAAGTGCAGAGTAATGCATGTTGGAAAACATAATCCCAACTATACATACAAAATGATGTGGTTTAAATTTGTTGTTTAAACTCAAGAAAGATCTTGGAGTCATCATGGATAGTCCTCGGAACTGCTCAATGTGCAGCAGCAGTCAAAAAAAAGCAGCTAACAATGTTAGGAACCATTAGGAAAGGGATAGATAATAAGACAGAAAATATCATGCTGCCTCTATATAAATCCATGGTACACCCACACCTTGAATACTTCCTGTAGTTCTGGTTGCTCCATCTCAAAAAAAAAATTATATATATATTAGAATAGGAAAAAGTTCAGAGAAGGGCAACAAAAATCACGAGGGGCATGGAACAGCTTCCCTATGAGGGGAGATTAAAAAGACTGGTACTAATCAGCTTGGAAAAGAAGTGAGTAAGGGGGAATATGATAGAGGTCTATAAAAATCATGAGTGGTGTGGATAAAATGAAGGAGGAAGGTGTTTTTTACCTATTCATATAAACACAAACTCTGGGTTACCCAATGAAATTAATAGGCAGCCGGTTTAAAAACCATACATAAGGAAGTAATTCTTCCCACAGGGCATAGCCAACCAGTAGAACTCATTACCAGGGGATGTTGTGAAGACCAAAAGGATAGCTGGATTCAAAACAGAATTAGACAAGTTCATGGATGGAGGACAGGTCCATCAATGGCTATTAGCCAAGATGGTCAAGGACACAACTCCATGCTATCGATGTTGCTAAATGTATGACTGCTAGAAGCTACAACTGGACGACAGGGGATGGATCACTCAATAAATTGCCCTGTTCTGTTCACTCCCTCAGAAACAGCTGGCACTGGCCAATGGCTAGATGGACCATTGGTCTGACCTAGTATGGCCATGGTCTTTTTCTGTAGATAAATAGTTGACCAGCAAAGGGAGATGGCCAAAAAAAGGGTATAAGTTAAGTTTTAAAACAAAGTTTTCAATAACGTAACAATAGGTTATAATTTTAATGTAATTAGAAGTCAGAAAATGCAAGATGACCTAGGGTTCTCGTGGGAATGGTATTAAAGGTTTCCCAACTTTCTGCAGATATTTGTGCTAGCACTCATCTGAATTAGTGCTCTAAAAATAGCAGCGTAGCACATGCTAGCCACCCAGAGTGTGTACACACACACGAGTCCAGGAGCGTTTGCACTCAGGCAACTAGCTCACACCACAATGGCTACACTACTATTTTTAACAGGCTAGCTCAATGAGAGATGACATACTTGCACTGTGTGAGATGGGAATCATGCCACTACATCCAAGTGCAGATGGAAGATAAGAAACTTAGTCAGTAATCCATAGTATCCCACACATACAGTTCCAGTGAGTTAAGTTTACCCCGACAAAAAGTTTTGTTTCTCAACATTTGAGGGTTTAAAGTTTCACCACTGAATTTCAATGAAAAAAAAAGATTAATGCACCAACTCCTACTGATTTCATTGTGCATGTCCACAGCTGTATTGTCAGAAGTTTATGGAACTTCCCATTGAAATAGTCAAAAGAGGGATACAAATCAGCTCACATTTTGAGCAGCTAGTTTGCAGTTGTCAGCAATAATAGTCATTATAAAAGAATGCCTAGAAATTACAGCTGGTAGGAAAATGGCCTCTGTCCCATGGGAAATTTTAAGTTCATTTTGGTTCTGAATCTGAAACCCCAGCCCTCCCAAAAAAACTGTCAAAACAAAATCTTGACTCCCTTTCCATCCAAAAGGTCTTTAAAAAAAAAATCCACCCTGTTCCTACAAAACATTTCAAGTTAAGGTAGGTATACACTTGCATGGCAGGTAGAGTGCAGATGCTACATGCCCAGATAGCATGGGTATAAATAGCAGAGTATATGGTAATGCATGTCTTAGGTGAGTAGAATGCCCTATACGCCTCAGCCCCGGGGTGTATACCCTACACACCCAAACAGTGCCCACTGCAGTGAAAGGCTCTTACAGCAGGGAAGCATGGGGAAAGGCTCTGGCAGCTCCCTTAGGAGCCTTTCCCCACAATTTCCCCTGCTAGAGCCTTTCACTGCCATGTTTGCCCAACACACCAGTGAGCGTGGACACGGACTGCCTTCCGAGGCAGTGAGTAGCTCATGGTGGCGTGTCGTGTAAACAAGGTCTTTGATGAAATGGCATTTTCTGACAGACAACTTAAAATCAAAGGAGTTTCTAGCAGAGCTGGTTGAAAACCAAGACAAAAAATCTCTTACCTGTTTTGTTTTTTCTGTTGACATGCGGAGCCGACTGCCAGAAGGCACAGAGATTCACTTTTGGGGGCCTTAGAGGTTTCTTTGGAGGGGAACCAAGAGATTCAACTGAAGGAAGTGGTTTAACTTTTGGAGGCTTGCTATCTTTGACATCAAGTTGTCTTTCCGTACCAGCTTGATGGAGGAAAGGTTCTGATGCTGTTTGTAACAAGAGCCACAAGGAGAGAGTCAGTTATTACTTCTCATTTCAAGTAAAAATGTATGTAGGACTGTTTGCATAAATTGGCAGGAATGTCTAACAGTTTCCTTCCCAGTTAAAATTTGCCTATTCTCATTTTATATGTAGACACTGACTCAGTGTGGGGCCTGATTTTTCAGTGGTGCTACAGAAGGAGTAGAAGTAAGTAGTAGTAAGAAAGCAGAAGGCTCTTTTTCTGTTTCTTCAGTGTTATACAATGGGGCCACATTTGAGAGTGATCTGCTTCTTGATTTGTTGTTAAAAAAAATTGAATTTTCTGTGCCAATAAGTTTTTCCATTTTCTAGACTTCAGCAGTATAACTTTTTTAAATATGCAGTTCCAGTAAGGTAGCTTTCCAGAGTAAACAGGATTTCATAGAATCGTAGAACTGGAAGGGAACTCGAGAGGGTCATCTAATCCAGTCCCCTGTACTCAAGGCAGGGCTAAGGATTTAATATTTTCAATATTTTGGCACTAAATCTGAAGCTGATAAAATGAACTTGCTGCTCAATACCTCCTTGGTAGCACGTTTCTAGAAGAAATACCCAAGGGAGCAAGCGCATTCTTAGCTTGGACCTGAACTTCCCAAAGTTGGGGGAAATGTACAGATTGGAGGATTCAAACCAGCTCCATTTTTACTCAAAAGTTAGCTTTATAGAAAATAAAGCCCTTAATTTTTTTTGCAGAGCATATGAAACATGAATACCATGGCATAAGAATCCAGTCTGTCCAACGTTCGGTGTAAGGAAGGCAAACTGATTCAAATGAAACACATTCTTCCCCCTTAACCTTGTTTCCAGAACTTGAACCCCGCCCCCTACCCCACAGTCCTCTGCCCCCCCCAGCAGAGTTTGAAAGGACCTAGCTAGCCAGTTACTCACCTTCCTTTCTTTTCCCACCAAAATTATTTGTCAGTTTTGTGCACCCCTACATATCAGTTCTCGCCATATCTTGCTACGGCGAAGCACCACTAGAAGAGAGTTCTCTCTGGAAGCCTCCTGTTCAATTCTGCAGCATGTAGGTACCCATCCAAACTGATCCTATATGCTCTCTCTTTTGGATCTGCATTAAAGTTTTCATGGCTGAGCCTCAAAACTGGCAGAATGCCGTATAAATACCACGTAAATGTTGAGAGGCTGGATTTACCTTTCAGATACTGAGAGGTCTCACTTGGCTTGTGTGGATCATAAGCAGGCTGAGAGAATCCAGTCACCTTAGGGCTTTGCTCAGTGCTCTTGTAACCTCTGGATGGACGGGGAGGTGATGAAGACTGGGGCAGTACAGGCATTTTGCTGTCTGGGAGAGATCTCTTTTGGGTAGAGAAATCCAGTGCTGGGAAGGAGCAAGTACTTCTCCTCATTTTGTTGCTCTCTGCTCCGAGGGCAGCGTTCAGAACCGCTGGCTGAGCAGAAGGATTCCCACTTACACACGATGGCAGCACTGCACACTTTCTGTCATTCTGAGCTGAAGCACTTTCCCAGATCTGCAGAGTATGATGGAAGGAGTTTAACAGTCCTTCCTCCGAATGTGCATTAACAGCTGCCTGCTGATAAATGCAAGAAGTTGGACAGGGTTTCTGCGAATCCCCTCTAGGAGGTGCATCTCCACAAAGGGATCCCTCCAAAGCTTTATTCTTTGTATCTTCATTCTTCCCTGCTAGGTACAAGTTGCCATGCTTGACTCTAGGCAATATCAAAGGTTTGGCCTGCATTAGCTCTGAGCTATGCACAGCAAAACAAAGTTGTTCTCTCTTTTGTTCAGACTCCAGCACTTTCCCTTGGTTCAGGATTCTGGGACTGGACACACCCTTAGTGTTGGAGCTTGGTAGATGTACACCTTCTGCAGGAGGCTTCTTGGGTGGTTGTGACACAGTATTTGAAAAATTGGCATCATTTTGAAATTTTGCTCTGAGTGCTCTGAAGTCACTTATGCCTTCCTAAAGGTGGGGAAAAGCAGCAGAAAGGTTATTGGCATTCTCCAAAGAGGCAATTAGTCCAGACGGTTCATTTGGTGGAAAAGTGGATTAAAATTTAATGGCCATTTACAAAAAACATTACGTGAATTACCAAAGCGTGCAAACACCATACCGCTCACCCGAAACTAAACAGAAGACCAATATTAAGTCTCATGTGTTTAAATTTAGATGAGCTACTTCAGCATAAACCCCTCCCCTCGACTTACACAGTCTCCAAAAAGGAGTAAAGAGTGACTTTCAGCCACAGAGACAAGGTGGGTAATGTAATGTCTTTTATTGGACCAACTTCTGTTGGAGAGAGACAAGCTTTTGCCAAACAAGGCCACTCCCCCAGAGAAGTAGATCAAATCATGGAACAGGCCACGCAAATACCCCAAGAGAACTTGCTTCAGTGCAAAAATAAAATCCCTTCTGATGACACACTTAGTTGTCACCTCACAGTGGAATCCATGTGGGGTAATCAAACAATCACAATCCATACTCAGTGGGGACCCCATCCTCAAACCCCACTTCTGGCTGGCCTCAACCACCACCACAACCTCTCCAAGATCATCATCATCAGCGGCAGGTTCCCCACAACACAGCAATGCAAAGTGGCATGAGACACTGCCAGAACAATATATCTCCACTGCTACAATGATCAACACTTTTCAAGATCCATGGATCCTACACATGCCTATCACAACACGCGGTGTTCCCTATAACTATGTGGGTGAAATGAGACAATCACTACACTATTAATGAGGAGTCCTTGTGGCACCTTAGAGACTAACCAATTTGAGCATAAGCTTTCATGAGCTACAGCTCACTTCATCAGATGCATAATAGTTTTATACACACAGACCATGAAAAAAAAAAAAGCTCTCATGGTCTGTGTGTATAAAAACATCTTCACTGTATTTTCCACTTTATGCATCTGATGAAGTGAGCTGTAGCTCACGAAAGCTTATGCTCAAATAAATTGGTTAGTCTAAGGTGCCACAAGTACTCCTTTTCTTTTTGCGAATACAGACTAACACGGCTGTTCCTCTGAAACCTGTCACCTATGGTAAGGATCTGTTGGAGGTAGAGTGGCCCATTAACACCTCTGCAACAAAGGGACAAAAAGAGCAGGTGAGTGGGTTACAGATTGGATTTATGGCATATTACAGCAGTATTTCTGTTCAGTCCATGATTTTTAGTGTTTAGCAGAGCAATGAATTTCAGCTTCCAGGCTCGTCTTGTCTTTTGAAAGTGTTGTGCAGGTTTCCTTTGAGGATGCAGTCTGATAGGTCAGATTGCTTTGCAGAAAGCGTTCGTCCACAGGTGATAGGCTGATCTTTCCTGTGTAACAGCCATGTTAGTCTGTATTCGCAAAAAGAAAAGGAGTACTTGTGGCACCGCAAAAAGAAAAGGAGTACTTGTGGCACCTTAGAGACTAAGTCGCTGTTCCAGCCTGCATTTTGCTGTGATGCTGGCAGTCCTTTTCCCAGACCTGGGGAAGAGCTCTGTGGGGCTGGAAAGCACGTCTCTCTCACCAACATAAATTGGTCCAGTAAAAGATATTACCTCACCCACCTTGTCTCTCTCATATCCTGGGATCGACACAGCTACAGGTACACTGGATAAGGACCTGCATAGGTGCGGATTGGAAGATAGTTGCTTGGTTACACTCATTACCATCCCACAAGGTGCTGAACACACCAATATTCCATTGAAGCCAATGGCATGAGAAGACACTCAGACCACACCCCATCAGGGCTGAGGTGAGAGACAAGGGCTTAGGAGTCATTACTAATGAGGGAGGTGGAGATGAGAACTGGGATTCAGGGACCCCTTTGAATGACAGCACAGTGAAAGGAGAGTCCTAGAGGGAGTTCTGAGACAGATGGACACACTATTATTATTACCAGAGAGACATAGTTAACCAAGCAGCAGCTGAGCCAAAAGATTTCTTCAAATCAAGAGCAAATTTCACGTACACACATCCACCAGGATGTACTTTTGGTAAGAAGGCAGCTGCGTACACCAAATAGGAAAACAAGAAGGGAGCTGGTGTAAACTGGTCATAGATCCATTGATTTCAGTTGATCTGCCCCCAAATGAAGACTGACTCATCACTAGTTCCACACCTCATAAGCTAGTACTTTTCAAGTGCTAATTGTTTCAGTTCAATGAAGCGTGGGGGGCAGGGGGCCGATGGAGGTAAGTGCTGGGAACGATACAAGCTAACTGACATTAAGAAAACTATTTTATTTAAGGACATGAAACACAGTCATGTGTGCCTGCTGCTGCCAGAGCACTTAATACCCGTCCACACACAGACTAGCTTTCTAGAGTCTCCTTCTCAGAAAAGTTTCAGAGTAGCAGCCGTGTTAGTCTGTATCCGCAAAAAGAAAAAGGAGGAGGACTTGTGGCTTCTTAGAGACTAACCAATTTATTTGAGCATAAGCTTTCATCGGATGCATGTAGCTGTAGCTCACGAAAGCTTATGCTCAAATAAATTGGTTAGTCTCTAAGATGCCACAAGTCCTCCTCCTTTTTCTTTTTGCGGATACAGACTAACACGGCTGCTACTCTGAAACATGTTAGAATAAGTAGTAATTCACTCATTCTTTTATCTCAGGTCAGTGCAGCATGGAACTTGTATCAGATTTCCAACACTTTCCTTGATCCTCAGATTTATAATCACCACTATTCATTCGGTGTGCCAGATAAACACATAACACGGGGTAGGAAAGGCAAGTTATCCAGGCAGGAGAATATATTTTCAGTAAAAGTCAGTTTTCTACATTTGCCTGAAACATTAACATTAAAAAACACAAAAAAAAACCCCGAACTTTTTAATTTAAATTAAAAAAAAAAGGTGTGGGCAAAGTTTAGTGAACTTTGTAGGTTTGTCCCAGGCATTTTGCTGTCCTATGATGAAAAATAAGGAGTCTGATATTTATCTGCAATACACTTTTTGAATTCAGTCCTGAGTAAAACTAAAGAAAGCCGGACGTCAAATTTATGAGCTACTCAAGTCCTTGGACTTGGACTGCTCTATAAAACTTGTTATATACCATGATTACATTAGGTGCACTGCACCAGGTTAACTATTTAGTTCAATGCAAAGAATTGCGATACTTCACAAGAACCTGTCTAATGAGGAAATTGGAAAAAATAATTTAGGACACAACTTCCTTCTTCAGGGTGGGGGCAGGGCAGAGGAAGTGTTTAGACCCTTAACATTAAGGCAGAACAGATGAATAGCATACTGAGGTTTTACTGAATTGTATTTAATTGCACAATTTATTAAACACTGCATTTCTCTTGAATAACCCCTTTCAGTAATATTACTTTCACATAACAGCGTATGATGTAAAGAACCTACCCGCAGAGGAGAGTGAATTGCTTCTATTATATTTCATAATTGGGGCCAGCTGTGTGATTCACTATAAGAAGCCAGACTAGTCTATTATGGAGATTTCCAGAAAGAAAGAAAAACTGATTCACCCCCTGTCCAAGTCACCACAGAGAGCCACACGTACACCAAACAGACAACGGGACAAAATCAGGTGCCATTGTTTCTGTTGCAGGGGCACCAAGCAGCTGTGTATACTGAAGCAACACCTGAAGGACTTAACGCTGTTTATAGCTCCTTAAATGCATTTCAGGTGTTTAATGGTACCAATGAGAAACTGGTTAATACATGAGACATACGCAACCATACATGAGGAAACCAGTATTTTTGTGCTTATAAATGCAATCCGCATGTTAGACAAGACTGGTCTTCTTTGGTACCGTGTACATAGTTCATTAAACCCACACCTGTTTGTTAACCACCTAATGGTAAAATGGGATGGCAAGAGTTAACAGTTCCGTCTTCTGTTCTGTGTCCTACCTCTCCCCACCCTTGCCTTAATTAAAAAGGATGTGAATACAAATCCCTCTTTCCCTCAGGTTATTTCTCTTGCCTTGAAATGGCAACTATAATTCACTTTGCTTAATTAATTGACAGATTATCTAGTTTCACCCTGGCTTCTTTAAGTGTCTGTGTTCTTTGCTGAACTGCTATTTCCCCCCCACTTTGCAGACACGGGATCTAGGAAGGAAGAGCGATTTTTAAGTGCAGATGTTGTTAAAGCTTTATAATATTTCTAGACTAACTACAGCCATAGTACTTTAGACTCTCCAATTCTCCCCACCTTCCCCCTCCCCACACTTCTTGAAAAGGAAATACATATCACAAACCTGGTCAGATCCAGGTAGTTGGCACTTGCTACACTTTGTATGCCCATGAAACACAGACCTAAGAAAGGCACACTTGGCACGACCATACGTACTAGAGCTGGGCAAATTATTTATGAAAAGTTATAACACTTGAGCAGATCTAACATTCCATGCAGGAGGGTGCCTGTTATGGAAACAAGACCAAGTGAATGAGGACATTGTCGAACCGCAAATGTAATAGCGGAGGTAAAGAGACGCAAGCACATGCTAGCTAGACAAATCCTAGAAAGGTCAGTTTCACAATGAAATCCATGGTGGCCCTCCACCCCTACCAACCTACCAGGTATCTTGAGGTTCTTCCCAATATGCGGTCACTTCCTCCCCAAATCCCCATGAATTTCTGGAGTAGAAATAGGAAATAGCCTGAAGCGCACCCTACAATAGCAACCAAAGCACCCTATGTGGTAAGAAAGGAAAACACCGCAGGCAGAGAGCAACCTGCAAAGATTAGCATGGTACTATTGTGATAACTACAAATTTAC